AAATTTCCAAGCTGCTTCTCAACAACTTTTTCTAGCACTTTAGATATAGTAGAGAGGTTTTAGGGACAGGAATGAAGTTAGCATATTTCCAGGGTTTAGGGAATTTGTTAGTAGACAAGCACTTATTAATAATATACGTAATATGTTGGGGGATAACGTATAATATCATCTTCCTATCCTATCAGAACCCACGGCATAAGTTCTAATTTGATGTATTATTATTAATACTTCGTTAGGGTTAATACTTGAAAATGAAAGTTTTTCTGGATTTAAAGAGTAGTAGTAAGTAAGTTAGTTGAATGAAATCATTATTTAGGTCTATTTGAGGGGTATTATTATAAAAGTATTGATTAAGTTTTAGTTGTAGTTATAGTATTATGTATAGGTCCGGAATACACATTAAGGTATCTAAGTACACGCCAGAAGTTTTTTGGATCCGTAAGAAACTTGTGTTGTAAAAAAGCCTTTTTCTCCCACTTAACAGCCATATTTACGAGATTTCTCAACTCCTTGTATTCAATCCAGGATTGTTCGGTTTTCTGTTTCTTATATTTAGACAGTGCTTTATGTTTCAAATTTATCATTATGTTTAAGTGAGCCAAGGAGCTGGCGGTTTTGTTATCTTCGCAGTTTTTAAAGGAGCATGCAAGCTTCCAGTAAGTTAGTATTAAAAAACTCCACCATTTTATCGACGTCAGTTAGTTCGAATATTTCATCCCAATTAATATTGTTTAAGTCAAATAGAAAATGTTCGTAACAAAAATTAGAAAAATCCCTGTAGGTTTTAAAAAATGCTTTGGGTTTAGATTTAGGTATCTTCAATTTGCAGTGTACCATATGATGATCAGAAATGCCCTCCAGCTTAAATACCCCTGGCTCTATCACGATATTCGGAGAGGTACTGACAATTAAGTTAATGAGAGTCGAGGTACTATGACTAACCATGTTACGTTCCCGAATATGTCGAAAAGGACCGTACTTGCTCAAAAAATTGGAAAAAATAGCGGAATCATTATGACAATTCACCACAAGAAGGTCAACGTTAAAGTCAGCTCCAAATATAACGTAATCATATTCAGAATTAATCGGACTAAGGTTATTTCAAGTGACTGCAGACCGTTATTCAGATTCAAGTGGGGAGGTCTGTAAAGGGTTCCCAAACAAACCCTCCTACCAGCAATATTAATAGATATCCACTTTTGTTCAAGCGCTACATTGTTATAGACGGTATTATCAAGAAACTTGTGTTTTAGATTATTTCTAATGTAAAAAGCCACACCACCCCCTCTACCATAACGATCACACCTTGACAATTTATAATTTTCAATATTAAATGGTACACTAGAAATATTTGGGCTAACCAAGCTCTGGGGTACGAAGTCTAGCTTGAATTCTCCGTTTTAGTTCATCCCGCAAATGTTCGATCGGATTGAGGTCGGGACTGCATACTGGCCACTTCATAACTCGAAAACCGACTTCTCAAATGTAATCTTACACGATCTCTGCGGTGTGCGACCTAGCATTATCATGCATAAAAATGAATTCTTCTCCAATGTAGTCGACAGATGGTACCAAGTGATCTGATAAAATATCCTCGATGTACCTAGCATCTGTTAAACATCCAGGCCTTTGAGTACAGCCGCCCCTATGGATGAAAACAGGTTCGGTTTGTGCGTCTATAGAAATTGCACCCATAAGGGCTCCGCTCTTCATTGTACCATTCTGCAAATCGCTATCCTGGTACACTTTTTTTCATCAGTCACTACCAAAAAGGCATTTCTGGTCTCATCTGAGAACAGAACAGACTGTGTGCTTGTCGATGTGCTGGAGTAAGTTTTGGACCAATTGCAGTGATAATTTAGGTTATTTTCCTTCAGTCTTCTTTTCACTGTCCACTGACTAACTTCGGACTTCACATTAAGATCACGATTTCTTATTATTGTTGACACAATAAAGCCATCATTACCAGCCGGGCGCCTAGCAAAGTATCGAGTCTCCTCATACCGTTGGCATACTCTCCGAATTGCTGCTGTCAGATTCAGTTGTCAAGCAACAACTCACTGGCGAAGTCCACTTTCGATTATAGCGATAACTTGAGCGGCTAACGCAGTGAAATTCCAATTGCAAAGTCGATTAATTTAAGTCTATAACAAGTTTGTTACTGTCACTATATAACTACTGCAAGAACACGTTTCATTTGTTTGATATAAAAGATCAGCACTCTTGACAAATTTATCTGGCATGTTTATTTTTTGTGTCAGATAAATAGTTTATTTATTTTTCGAAAATTAAGTTCAAACATTTCTGAATATAACATTATCTTACTTCTTTCTTCTACTTTTAAAGGTCCCTTTTTGATTGAGCCGGCGGCTTAAAGGATTCCAGGTGTAACCGTCATCCCACACCTGAATCCTAACGAAATTCCGCACAAACACGCGACGACCCGTTTCGTCTAATGAATGTCACGCGGTGGCGACTAACAGAACCAAATAAACAACCGGAGGATTCGAAACGTAACCCATAATCCAGTACGGGAAATTTATTTCGGTCTGTCACGTGACGGAACCGACATGCCAGTAAATACGGGATCCGGGCGGCTCATCTGACAGGCATCGAATTCGCGATAAACTGCCTCGCGACAACGGTAAATAATAAATACGAATTAATAGGAATGCGGCAATCCGCTCTTGAGAGAAGACAATTATTATTTGACATGAATGGAGGAAATTCAAATTAAAATGAAATAAGGTAATAATTTGGACGTTATACCATGCGGACTTATCTAATTTAAAATTATGCGATATACTACGACGTTATTAATTAGAAAAATGATTCTTTTACAGTTGAATAGATTAGCTGTTGCTATAGAGGGCTCGAGATAGTCCGAGATAAAAGACTTGAGAACTACGAGATGTGTTCAAAAAGTAAGATGACTTTGAAGTTTTACCAAAAAGTTTTTACTTATTTATCAAAATTAATGTTGTCAAAGTAATCCCCTCCCTTCACTTGGGCCAACGATTTTCTTCCAGAGATTTTTTCTTTATCTCCTCAATCGTGCCAAACCTCCTCCCTTTATGGGTTTCTTGAGTTTTTGGAACAGGAAAAAGTCACAGGGGCCATATCCGCTGAATATGTTGGCTAAGGCATGATTGTGGTTTTGTTTTTGACCAAAAAGTTAGACACAAGCAACGATGAATGAGCAGGTTAGCTTTGCTTGAGTTTTGTTAGTTGTGGTTAAAATTGGTTAGTTTTGTTTGTGTTTGGTAAATTTTGGTTTTTTGGTCAAAATTGGTTAGTTTTGGTCAATTGTGGTTTGCTTTGGTGAATTTTGCCTTGTTTTGTTTTTTTTTTTGGTTGGTTTTGGTTTGTTACGGTTAATTTTGGTTCTCCTTGGTTTCTTTTGGCGAATTTTGGCTAGTTTTGGTTACTTTGGTTTGTTTTGGTTAATTTTGCTTTGTTTTTGTGCATAACCGTTCCTCGTAGAACTTCTAAACTTATCGCCATATCAATTTTCGCCAAAAATAAAATACCGCACCAGACTGTTTAATATTAGAGCAAAAACATTGGAACTAAACATACAGGATGTCCAAAAAAATGTTAAACAAATTATAGATACAGATAAGATTAAATGAATACGTGGGAAACCAAATTTTTGGATTAATTTACATGAAGAAATCAGCTTGAACACTCTGTATATTATACTAAAGCAATTTAAACAGTATTTTGCGCTAAGAATAATATTAAAAATGCAATATTATGACCGTTCCAAAAAAAAAACACTTAAAAACTAAGAACAAAACTGCAAAACAAATAAGAACTGTTTAACTAAGTTTCACTTTATTTATTGGTCGAAATGTCGCCCAATGCTTTCTGTATTTGAAACTAGAGTGACGTCATTCCAGAAAGGTAATACGATAAGTACGATACCAAAAAACCTAATTATTTCGAATATTGTTTGGATTAAGGTTCAAGTAACTCTAACACAGTTTGCCATAAGTTGATAACACTTACAATGTGTCCACCACACTATCCACCACATATACATTTCTTTAATTTTTATTATTGATTTTATTATTGATGTTTCCTTCTTAAAGACAGCAGCCAATACTAGAGCATCTCCATCTAAAGATGATGTTGATGGCATAGACCTATTTGCATCCCATGAGGAAGAAAAAGGTTGTAGAAGTAAATAATAAGATATAACAAAGAATAATTTCCAAGTTAAATCTACATAACGATGAGACTGATTGAACTTTTGGAGTTGATGGTTTAATCAACAAAGATTAAAAGCTTATGCTAAAATGGAAGCTGATTTCCAAATAAAATATTGTGCTTCATGTTAAGTCTTGAGACGGTGAGACTGACATGAAGAAACTAGAAAACTCTTTTGGTATAATTGAAATGCCTCTAAAAAAAATCCGTATTTTAATAACTTCGCCCATCCTTTAAATTTCGGGAATTGTAATAAAAAACTATAAGCTACCAACAAATAGGACTTTATTGTTTCTCAAAATGTTCCCCTTTATGATCAATACACTTTTGCATTCGATCATCGAAGCACTTTTCCCACATCGAGTCGGGCAACTCCAAAACATGCTTTTTAAATGCATCAATCGCTTCTTCTGGTGTCAAACATCGTTGCCCACGTAATTTATTCTTAATGTATGGGAATAAAAGACGTGTGCTAAATCAGGACTATATGGTGGATGGCTCATCGAATCGACGTATTTAATGCTCAAAAAGTTCTTTGTTTGCACTGATCGGTGAGAGCTAGCATTGTCGTCGTGGAGAGTGATTCGTCTTCGGCGGTTGGTTTTTCTAATTTCTTCGAATACTTTCGGCAAACAAATGGTTGTGAAATATAAAAGTCAGCCCTCGTATAGCCACTTGAATAAGATTAAATTTGTTGATTTTATTTTTTATTTCAGAAATTATTATTTATTTTTAATTACCGTTGTTTAGTTCTACTGTGACTAATTGAACGATTTGTTGTGTTGCAGGCTGTTGGGGGGCGCAGGTGGATGTGGAAAAGAAAATACAAACAGTCCTGCCTGGACAGAATGCTACCTTCATGTGCCGGGTGGCGGTACCCCTGCAGTACTGTCGGGTGGAGATCCCCGGATTGAAAACCCTCAATTTGAATAGAGGCATCAGCAATGCGGACGTACGTATTATTGTTATAATGTATCTATCTAAATGAACCGTCTGTTTGAAAAGAAGAAGAAGAAATGTTCGAAATCTAATAATATCACGTGGAGAGCGAGAATAAATAAGGGGAGGGTCTATATTGAAACTACTTAGAACCAATAAATTCAATTTTGACGATATATCTGCTTAATGGACTCTGCAAATTGATTTAGTATACTTTAGTATTTCTCTTGTAGAAAGAAGAAAAAATCAAGCTACGATATTTTTATATTATATAGGGTGGTAATAATGATATATAGCTTAGTAAAATGTCTCTCATAGGCGATATACAGGGGGTTAAAAATTATTTCTCTAAATTGTTATTCCTCAATAACGCAATCCGTTTTTACATCATATTTTTTTACGTGATGTGTAGAGTGCGCTAGCTACACCATATAATCTCGCTATTTTATTTCACAACATTGTTGGTACTACTCCGCAAAAGTTCGACTGATCCCGATATCAAAATTGGTGTTCTCGCGAAATGCTCCTTGATTTTAATGATCTTTTTTTGTGAATTGTAGACCGATTCTTTGGCAACAATCTATGTGACAAACTTTTATTCAGAAGTTGATGTACGTTTGATATTAAGCCGATATGGATCCTTACCAAATTATTATATCTCCCAAGCTCAAGCTCAAGTTGTTTTTGAGATAGGGACATGGAAACTTTTGAGGGTTTTTGGAGATGACTATTACGAATGATAATTTTCTATGTAAAATAGGTGTACTTGCTACTTTTTTTTCGATAAATCACACCGTTTTGCATTCGCATATTTCCATTGTAATATTTTATCTTTTTTATTAAGACGTCTACACTCTATCATAATCTTCAAAAAAACGTGAAGAACGGTATTAAGAAAAAAAAATTATAGGATGTAACCATTTGAGTTTTAGATAAATTCCAATTTCTAGAACTAAACTTTTAACTCCTGAATCTCACTAATGAGCAATGTTTTACGTATTTGGCTCAATATCAATATTTTCACGAGTTTGATCTAGGACAGGATACGGACTAGGCTAGTAGCTCTACATGTGCCAAAAATCAAGTTAAGCCTTAACTCACAACCAAAAATTATTTTACACTGATTTGTGTAGCGGGTCATGATAGTAACAAATCAGGTGCTAAGTGGGGTACAGATAGGTTTTTTATCGTTACATATACTAATTGGTTAACTGACTGTGAAGTTTTTTCTATAAATAAATATAAACAGGATATCAGAATAAGATGGTATGACTGTTTGATGTTACAATACAGTGGTGTGAATAGTATACTCTGACCAGAAATATGGTGCTTTTACAACCCACCCCGGGATTAACTTTGCCTACTGTTTATTACTCCAAAACCGCAGCCCTTTATAGAACACCCTGCTGAGCAGACCCTTACCCGTAACCATTCCAAGACAGTCGTAGGAATGTGTATAAAGTCTGTTCATATATATAAGAAAGTGACTAACTGATACGAATTAAGGAAAGAACCGGGCAAGCTGCAAGAATAAAATATGGCCGAACAGGTCCTTACTTTGTTTAGAATTTAGTTATTTGGGTTTTGTTAGGAAAGATACTAAACAATATTTATTTATTTATGTATGTATTTATGTTTAAATCTAAAATAAAATTACGAATTATTTTTATTACCTACTTAATTTACTTAAAATTATTCACATAATATCAGTATCACTATCGCTATCATCGCCTGTTCAAATTATTATTTGTTCTATATTATTTGCAATATGGATATACGATTGTTCTGCTTTTTCTATATGTTTAACAGAATTCGCCCAACTTTGTTTTCTATAACTTTGAGGCCATTGGAGTTAACACGGGGAAAAACATTGTTACGACGAATGGCAGATTTGGTGCCAAACATGTTCATTGGGATTAAATATACAATGATAAGGTGGAAGCCTTCAAATTGTATGCCCTAGATTTTTTGCATAATTATCACAGACGTATTCCTTTTGTAGGTTCAAGTTTTGTAGAACCTCAATTCATTGATACATGTAATTTTGGATTGTTGCTTTTGTGTCACATAAGGAAGGGGTTTTAGTCAATTGTCTACTGTGATAACTTGCATTGTCCATTACAATGACGCTATTAGGAGGAATGTTTGGAACTAGTTTGTTTTTAAACCAACTTTCAAATAAATCAGCGGTGGTGTCTTCATGGTAATCCAGAGAAGAATCTTTAATATTTTTCGCAGACAAAGAAAGTCCATTTGGAATCCTTTAGAATCTTTAGAGCCAGCATGCAAAATAGTTATTGTTTTACCTCTTTTTGATGGCGCTTTTGTTTTACACTTATCATTTGAGTCAACCCAACCCTTTTCCGGGGTATCATAAGTGTCGAACCAGGTTTCATCCAAGTAAATAATTGACCTTGTTAGTAAATTTATTTCTATTATCTAAATATATAATTTAAATGTTTTTTTTTTCTATATTTTAAGCTATATATAACGGACTTACGCTCTTTCACTTTTTGTAACAAAACAAATTTTTATTTTGAAAGTGACCTAAGTCTTTAAGGTAAGCAAGGTCATATTATACACTAAATAATAGCGAATTTTTAATAGGATACATAAAATGCGATTTAACATTGCCAGTCAACTATATGTCTTATGCATATTTTTAATTTTGTAAAAACGCAAAACCTTAAGGATTTCAAATTAAAGATAAATGGACTTAAGTCACTTTCAAAATGAACGGCTCATATAGAAGACACAAAAATACAAGAAGAAGAATGTTGTTTATCGACAGGTTTACAAGATAAAAATGATTATTTTCAAACTTACCTAAGATAAATAGGGTACAGGTACTTACCCTCACCCTTTGAACAATCCAGTGAAAACAACAGGATCAAGGCTCGAGAATCAGGTACTTACTGGGACGATCACTTTCAAATACCTCCTTAAAATATACGAACATATTGCAATTTAGATTCAACTCTTAACTCTCACCTGATGTTAAAATAAACGCTTCTACTTATTCGAAGCATTTACGTTTCAAATAAAAAAGTTTCTACAAATATTCACTACGGTCCATCTCAGGCAAGACCTACTGAATGCAGAATAAACATCTGTTGGGGTGGGTTTTACCATGGTCCTGCTAAGATTTACGGTTGAGGTACTGTAAAATACTTAAAACGTTTTTTTGATCGCACAATACCTTCAAGGTTATTCTTTCCGTTCAGGTGTCGTATTACGGCCAAGGGTTGGACGCTGGCCAATGCGGTTTCGTTATCCACAGAGCAGAGGACCGTAATAATGGGGACGTGAAGTGTACTTTGGGTATTGCTAGCGAAGCGCAAGAGTCAGTAGGCACCATGTCGCTGATAGTAGCCAGTGAGCGCCATCGTTGTTGTTTAGTTGAACTAGATAATTCACTTTTTCATTCATAGGGTCGCCCAAAGCCCCCGAGCTGGATCTGAGCCAGGGTACGGATCACCTGGTGGTGTACAAAGTCGACGATACCATACAAGCTTCGTGCATAGTCAGGGACGGCCGTCCTGTTGCCAACATCAGTTGGTTTTTGGGTAAGTAGGGCATTGCCAGGCATCCGTATTGAGGTCCATCTGATGGTTTTACCATCTTCAAACAAGTTCTTTAGTTAGTGAACCAATTAAATTGTCCCCTTTCAGACAATGAACCTATCGACAACAGTGAGCTGAGCATGCCCACGGTTATAGACTTGGCTAAGGAGAATCTACAGTCGAAAATTCAAAACTTGACGAGACGCCTACGGGCGTCGGACAATGGCAAATATCTGAGGTGCGTCGCGTACCACGACGGATACCCAGGTGGTATTTCAGAAACCAAACGACAGCTGGATATCAAATGTACGTATATTTCGAATTTTTTGAATTGAATTTCCGGAATTAATTTTTTCGTACATACACGTAGCCTGACATGGATAGAATTTCTATCAAAACCAATCCTGATTTTCTTTAGTAATCCTGGTATGCATTCTTTCCTTTTCATCGGATAAGAAAAACCGCTTTATAACAAACCGTCTTTGGATAATATAAAAGATCCGTGTTGTTATTATTTACTATGAATCCAGGGTCTTTAAATTTTCGTAATTTCCATAAGCCTTTGATCATATTGTGTTTTTTACAATTATATTACAATACAATTTTCAATGAAATTAGTATAAAAGATGTTCAGATTTTCATAGTTTGTAATGATTTATGACAGTTATTTCGACAAAACCTTTATCAAATACAAAATATGAAAATATTCCGAATCCCGAATGTATAAACAGGTAATAGATTTTTAATTACCGGTATAGGGTTATAAATTTAAATTTAACAACGGAGACGCATTTAAATCCAATTCGAATATAACATTTGGTTAATCGCCCTAGCTTCCACTAAGCTTGGTTTTTTGCTTTTTGATTAATTATATAAAATATCAAAATTATTGTCAAACTTGGGCATTTCCTAATTTAAATGAATGGCATAGTTAAAATCCGAACTTTTATTCTTATACGCCCATATATGTTCGTTAATGCTTTTCTTAAATGTTCTACCTGTGTGTCCCATATAAATTTTGGGACATAATCCACATTTCAACTTGTAGACTCGGGACTTTTCAGTTTTTCGTAATTTAATTTTATTGTTTTTTAGAAAATGTCCTATGGTGTTTTCAGTTTTAAAAGCAATATTAAGACCAAATTTAGATAGATGTTCCGAATTTTTCTTACTGGGTACGGTGATTTATATGGGATAGATGGAGATCAGCGTTATTTGAAACTGCGTTTTAGTTTTAATCGTACCTATAAAAGAGGGGTCGTAACCCTTGTTAAAAACTATTTGTTTTATTTATTTTTTTTTCTGTGGAAAATGGTATATTAAGTAGTCTGCGGATAAAAGCATAAAATACATACGTAGCAGAACTTAGCAACGAAAATTTCGAAACATCTATCTAAATTTGGTCTTAATATAGCATAGGACATTTTTTAAAAAAACCATAAAGCTAAATTACTATTATTATTTATTGCTATTCAACCTTAAGTACGCATGATTGCAAATTCTGACCGTTTGTACATTATGAATTTTATTTTTGTTAATATACTAATCTGTTTTTTTTTCTTTCTACAGCATAAGCTTGTCGAGAGTTTCTTTTGCATTTTTAATCTTACCGACTTGACAATAATGATTATTAATAATGAATATAAGCAAAGCCACCTAAGTAATATTTTGTTTTTATAAAAACGTATTTACTTATCTGGTTTTTTCCTTCCTGTGAGCTTATTTTTTAACGGATTTTGAAAATTTTGGTCCCAAAATGTTGCAAAAAAAAATTTTCCCACTAGGGTGCTATTTTAAATAACTGGGTGATCCTAAAAAATTATTACAATACAATAATTGCTATTTGTCATTAGGCAAGTAAAGAAAAGTTTCATTTGAAATTTTTTCCAGGATCATGTGACCCGGCACATAGTATTTATGATGGTCACAGCCTTCTAGACAGAAGTTTCAAAAATTAAATAAAAATTTAAAAAAATGAAAAAAAAAAAAGATATAAAACCGTCCCATCCTACGTAGAATCCAAAAATGCGAAAAATATAGGTTGCGTTCATTGACAACATATTGTCAAAAAATTGGACATTCAGCCCATATTAACCCTTCCAAATTTCAACTCGCTACCTCAAGCCGTTTAAAAGTTATGCAGTGTTCCCACTTTCTTGTGTCACTGGGTATATCGATGTTTTCATATTTCGTATTTTGTATTTGATAAAGGCACGGTGTTACCGAAACAGCTGTCATAAATCATTAAAATCTGTGAAAATCTAAACATTTTTTTTTCTAATTTAATTGTGTTATATTTTTCTTGTCGTATATTTAGAGAACGATTCGACTCCCCTGTTGTTCGTGGGGCTGAGAATCCTATCAATATCTATTCTTTTTCAAATGCATTTACTTTTTTTTCATATAGTGTAAGTCTTTTCTTGCTTTTTTTTAGTTTTTTGGAACGGAGGTTTCTCCTAGATGCAATGATACTACCAGTATTATTGTTAGCGTAGTTACTTACCAATACAATGCAATGCAATTAAATACCAACAGTATTTAACAGGGAAACTGATTTTGAGTGTTAAAACGTGGCAAATTTTCCGCATTGATAATAAAACTTTTGATATTTATTTTCGCTAAAGTCGCAATTTTATTATAGAAAAAAACTGTACAGAACCTATGCCAAAAATATATTTCTTGGCATTTACGGCTTGAACAAACTCCGCTTTGGGGACATATTCGACAAACCAATGAAGCTATGGCGTTAAAAGAACAATAAAAACGCTCAAAGCCTTGTATTTGTTTTATTAAACAGCCATGTATAATTTTTAATTAAATTTTATAAGGTTTGTCTTCAAAAGACAATTGGCGTACGCCACAGTTTTTCTTTTTTTCCTTCAAATGCTCCAGAATGAACTGAACTTCTGATTGCCTTGACGTTGCGTTTTGAGACTCGATATCGGAAATTAAATCTCTTGTGACGTCCTTAAAAAAATATAAGGATTTTAAACATGAAACAAAAATATTCCACACTGGTTGTGACTTATGAAGATTTGAACAATCTCTAGCTAGATTTTTCGCTGCTAATCACATGATCATATACCTATGACTATCCATTTTTCCTGAGGCCTATTCTTAGGAGACCTTCTAGTTGTCGTCATCATAAAATGCTACAGATTACGGCTAACACATAACATTTAAAAAGACCCATTACAAGACACACGGTGAGTAAAATTAATAGAAAATTTATAGTAGAAAACGAAATTATCGGACCTGCTTGGTCACAATTTTACTGGAGCCAGATATTGAATTTAAGAATTGGCCCTGATCCGACTCCGGTATCCATCTTTTTTTCGCGAGTTTCGACTGTTTTTTGAACCTTGCTATGAAACACGATAAGTTTCCTAAATTTGAAGCAATCGACTTCATATTTGGCACACATATGCAGCTTTGCCCCGTGACGGAACCTATTGAAAATGGGGGGGGGAAGAATTCTAAAAAAATAAAAAATCGCGCGTGCCAAGGTCTACAAAAAACATCATTTTTCAAAAACTGTTTACGAGACCAAAAAATTTCTTGAACTAGAAGAAGCAGAAGATACGGATATATAAACTTTTATTCTTGCCAATTTTTCAAATCAACTGCAAATGTAGCAGAGAAATAAAAGTCCCCGTCCACATTTAAACGGTAGAAATTGGGTCCAATCAAATTTTACCAAGTATTTTATAAAAATATTTGATTTTTTTTTGGTAATTAACTAAAAAGTATGGCTAATATGGCTACAATTTTTGTATTTGCGGTTTTCGTGTATCATATACAGTGCTCGGGATATATGAAAAAAACCGTTTTAAAATCGCTATTTCGGGGGCTCAGTCAAGACGCGATGACGTCATTGATTATTATTATTATTATTTTCTCGAAAACCATTTTCTATTTTGGAAAATTTCTTCTACCAGGAAACGTGGAAGATCCAGGGCTATAACCTCCATTTGCGGACTCTTTCAATAATGTACACGTTGTGTCAATTATGGGAAAAAAAATCTAAAAGATCCCGAGGATTGCCGCTTCCGTGGATAAATTATTAGCCGTAAATGAAAAACTATAAAACATGGCATAGTTTGGTTTAAACTGTCTCGAATATTGTTTCGAGAGGTAGAGTTTCAGGTATGGTCTATCACGCATGGTGCGCGAGATACTTGGAATGATATAATCGTAAATCGTTATTACTTATACAATTTTTTACATTTATCAAAGTTTGTCGTGACTCTGAAATTCGGCGATAACTAAAAAACGCTTTATACAGGGTGTATACACGATATAATTACATCGATTTTGCGAAAGTTCCATAGTGAAGCGAAGCGGCTTCTTTTTGAGATTCAAAGCTGCTGCGCGCTACGAACATGTCCCGCCCACCGAACGTAATCTTGTTAAATCGCCCCCGTATCCCCGAGCTAATCACCGACCGGCCGCATAAACAAATACTATTCGATCGTAGACGGGCCCTTACCGCAACGGCAACCCATAGAGGAGTTCGGCTACGAGATCGGCAAAGTAGGAGTTATTAATGTTACCGTTGAGGCGAACCCGAAACCCCAAATAGAGTGGTCGGTGGACGGTCAGAAAATTAGGGAGGGCAGCCACGACAACACCGGAAGCATGGAAGCGGAAGTGGCCCGAGATCTGGTTAGTTTTGCACCGTAAACATTCGTTTGTCTGGGAAGTTTATTCTGTAATCCATCCCGTATTGTCTCAGCGCCTAGTCAGCTTTACGTACTGTCCTTCGATGTAGAATTTGACCTTAAATTAACAAAACCCGACTGCGTATATTTACAGGGTGTGTTTCAAATGGTGACTGTGGAAAATTCCGTTATTGTTAAAGATGCAAAGAAGCCTTTTGTACAAGGTGGTCCTAAATAAATAGATATTTATTGGTAAATCGGCCAAGGGAGAAAGCTGGAAATTATTTTTAAGTTCATAAAATGGCCGCTAGGGGCGTAACATCTACTGTAAAATAGAAAAATCGGGTTGTCTCAAAAATATTTCAAATTATATCAAAATTAGTTTTGGCGTAATCTAGTCCAGATAAGGAAACTTTTTTGTTTGAACTATTTTTCTCTGTCAATTCAAATTAAGGATGGGGGAAGGGTCAAATATTGGTTTAGAAAAAATTGAATAACTTTCTTTTGGCTAATCCCATTTCGACGAACATAATTTAGTTTTAAATAGCTTTTGCGAGTCGGTAGGAGGCGCTTCATGTCAAATACAACTATTTTTATGATTTTCTCGAAAATTTCAAATATAATGGGGTTAATATATTTGACTTGGATTAATGAGCGTAGAAAATCACAGCAAGTAGTGGAAACGGCATCGTAATATCTTTTTTGCCCTTTGAAATATTTTCTACTAGAGTTAAATTTGATTTTGTCCTAGTTTGTCCATGATAATCGCCAATAATCAATAATAGTCAAAAAATGATTCGTCAATATAATTTACTACATGCATTGTCAATATTATAAAAGAGAGTAAAATAATTAAGTAGGCTTATCGGTTGGCATGGTAACTTTACCATTATTATGGAACAATTTATTGAGGTATTTTGTGAATAATTCTTTCTAACCTAATTTCCTCTCAGTTATATTTTATTTATAAAATAAAATAAAAGTAATATCGAACCCTTACTATAAATTATCATTCCCTCCCTCTTGGTTATCTCTAATACCTACTTAAAAAAGTATTTTTAAATTAATTTTTATTTATATCTCAGAGAGGAAAAAGAATTAATATCGAGATATTGACATGCCAGTCGAAGCTCCTATAAATAATCTTTAAAATAAACTAAGTTCGTAGAAATCGGATTAGCTAGACAAAAATTATTGAACTTTTCCTTAACTAATATTTGACCCTTCCCCACCCTTAATTTGACTAGAAAGAAAAAAAGAGTTCAAACAAAAAAGTCTCCTTATCTAGAGTAGATTACGTTAAAATTAATTTTGATATAGGTTAATTTGGAAAAATTTGGAGAAAACCCATTTTTTTCTATTTTAGGGTATACGGTATAATCAAATTTTGATTTGCGCCTGTAACTGTCTGAGCTACGAGGGAAAACTGAAAAATTTGCGATTGCCTTTATTTAAATTTATTCAAAAAAGTTTATGCATAATAGTAATTAGTAATAACTAGTAATTTGTAACAAGAGAGAATATAGGCAATATAGGGAAAAGCATTACCCCTATCTCAAGACCCTCTCTTAATACTTTTCCTATATTTTTTGCGTGCAAAAAAAAAATATAATAATTAAAATAAACTTCACTTAAAATTAACACAGCATTCAAAACAAATTCTTCTAAGCTTATTTAATCTTTAATCCTAACCGCTTACAATTTGAATAAATCTGAACTTTGTGATTGCCTTTGGTTAGTTTCACATCAGCTAACTGCTCCTTAAAGTTTATATATTGCAATTGCATGCACCCTTTATTGTCTTCAAATATTTTAAAGCTAGAAAAATACAGTTTCATATCTGAAAATAATTTTCTGGACCACAAACAATCAAACAAATTTTAAATTTGTTTCTTGTGTTCCTTTCAAGTATCTCAACAATCTCTTCAGCGCAATTCAAACTTGCGGCTATCAAAATCATCAAATCGGTGTTAGTGATGAATTGCAGTTTTCAAATTTGAATCTCTTTAAAAATCCTTTCGAATACCTGTTATATTCAGTTTCAAGTACTAAGTTTTTTTTTTTAATTCGCCATTGCCTTTTACGTCAAATTGCAAATTTCAATTTTATCATAGTCTGGTCCTGAAATTATAATATATACATGCTGATCTTATAAAAGCCAATTTTGGTTAAATAATTGTTTATTTTGATGATCCGACATTTGGAAGCTTGTTTTAGTCCATAGAGTGCTTCATTTAATTTAAAAACATGCCCTTGTTTATATTTAACCCTCTCTGACGGATAAATGTATATGTTTTCTTTTAATTATTATTTGTATTGATTTCCCAACAATAAAAGCATTCTGATTGTTGGTATCTTGGCTGCTGGTGAGTATAGTTCATCATGATTAGAAAAATCTCTTTGGGCAAATCCCTTTCCCACTAATTTTGCCTTATATCCTTCTTCGATATTCTAACATTTTTCATGCAATACCCATTTTCAGGATTTAGGTTTCTTCACTTCAATCCATGCTTTGTAGTTTTCTGGTACTTGGTCAACATAAGACGTGGCATCAAATGTCGTATGTAGTTCGTAGTTACATCTCTGTAGTAGTTTACTTACCCTTTGGCTTTTTTCATTTAGAACTGTAGACAGTTTTTCTGTGTTATCCTCTTCACTTTCTCCACTATTTCTTGGATAATCTGATTCGCTATATCTTCTGCAATATCTTACAAAATCTACTGTTTTCTTGTAGCATAAATATTAAAGGATTTTGGTATATAATACATATGCTGCCACGCTGATTGCTTCGTTCCAAAAATATTTTGGCATATTTGCTTCTTGAATCATTGAACTGGCTTTTTCAGTTATACTTCTGTTTTACCTCTTCCGTTCTTTAATTTGTTGAGATATATATGGCGTTAAATAATCAATACTAGTCCCATTGTCTCTACAAAAAATTTTTAATTCTGGAGGCAATGTGTGTGTGAACTATTTCTATCATTCTTTTGCTCTATGCTTACTATTGAAATGTAATCTAACCCAATTTTCCTGTACAACCTTCACAAAAGTCAATTTTATCGGTCTTTATATTTTTTAAACCTTTAACCATATTATATCTGATTAATGTTTCTAAATTTGAATAACACATATGCCTTAAAATACAACTGGTCTCTATGCCCTAAAGCTATTCATTTTTCCCTCGTGTATAAAAAAACTTGACCTTTATAAAATGTTAGCATTTTATTTGTCATCTCTGTTCATCACGCATTCTTGCTTCCTGCAATTTTTTCTCATCATCAAAGCGGCTTTCTTTAAATTCCTTCTCAACACGTTGTTTTGTATTCTTTTCAACTAATAGTATTTCCATTCTAAATTCCCAGAAGTTGTAATTGTGCTGATTTCACAGGTCTATATTGAAACTATTCATCTTTACTGTTCCTGCCATGTTTATTTATTATCAGGGTTATTCAATTAAGTTTATACATAATAGTAATTAGTAATAACTAGAATCATAACCTTCTTCTTATAAGCGCTAAACACAGAATACAGAGAATTTTTTTGCAAAAATTCACATTCAGAATGTAAAATAAGAACCTTAATTTATATGGAGAGTAGAGAGAGTAAATTTAAGTTAGGTTTCACAATGAAACTAGTAGGTAAAAGTAAAGCTACTACAAAATCATGTTTCTTAACATTATATTAATTCTTAGTAAACATTAAGATTACTATGGGGATATTATAAAACATTAAAAAACATAACAGCATAACTTATGGTCGCAGGTATTTTTAAATTTATTTATGCTTAGACAATACGGGCGACATGTAATGTCACCACCACTGAGGATTTTGGGAGAATATTTTTTTTTAAATGCAGGGAAATGGTCGATACTTGGTCAGCCTGAAAATAGCCAGGATCAGCAAGCTGGACACCGATAAGGAGTACATCCTGACGGCGTACAACGACATGGGCAGTCAAGATTATAGGGTGAAGATTTCCACCAATCCCGAACCGAAAGGTAAACATTAGTAGTAATTGCCGATGCCCACTAGGTTACACCCCCCTCCAACGTGAAGCTAAATTAAGTTTCTTATTTCTCAAATATTCCAGTAATAACAAATACTAATAGTAAAAATTTAATTAGATTTAACTCTTTTTAAATGTTGAACGCTCAATAATTATCTACAGGGCGATTCGACTAGTCCACATTTTATTTACCAAGAAAAAAAGTCGATACAGGTTGTTTCTCTTCTTTCTCATTTGAAGTGTAAGAATGCAAGTATTAGTAGTATTCTCATAAAATGTCAGCGTAATTGAGGACCTCTTGAATGTTTAAACTTATAATAGTGATTGAATTTTTCACGCCGCATTTAGGGATCACAAAGTTCTTCCGACAGCACGTCTACGGTAAGCCTGAAATATACTATGTCAAAAAAAGAAACACCCTCTCGCCCCCCCCCCCCCCCCCCCACACCACACCGCACAATCACCCTAAATTACGTAGAACACGATCGAAAGCTTTTATTACATTATTTCCTACATTATAGGACTTGCATTACATGTCCAAAGGTAAATAAGATTGAAGATAAGGAAGAAATTGATCCGCGCTAGTAAAACACTAATAAGATTTTGATTGGAAGGTGGGTGTCGTTTGCCCTAATTTACGTGTTTTTAATGGCCGCCGATGGTCATTTGGGGAGGGTAATTTGGTTGGTTACCACCCGGAAATAATTGTATGCGTTTGTCGAACTAAATAAGAAACATTTTGGGTCATAGAACGAGGGGTTCCATCTGCTATATACGGGGTGATTCGCGGTGGATCGCTGGTTATAAATGTTATAAGTGAGACACCCAATATATTATTCGATTTTCTGTCCCTCCAGTTTATGGTTATTTTTATATTATACCTCGCCGTACCTTAATTATTAAATATTATTCATATTTTTGTCCAAAATTGAAATTTTGAATGAATTTTACGAAGGTCTTATAGTTTTATGTTTTAGTTCACTCTATAATAGATGAAGACGCTCAAAATATGCGAGTGTACCGGTGAAAACAAAAGTAGTGAAAATTTTATTTTTTAAATCGAACGCCCTATATTTTATTAACGATTCTGGAAGACATTTGAAAACTCCCTTTAATAATATATTATGCCTAATTGTTAAAGAATTCAATTATCAATCGGTTCGATTTAAATTCTAAAAAATTTCACAGTTAATGAAACATTATAAGAGTGTCCGTTGATGATTTTGGCCAAATAATTAGAAAATAGCAAAACATGTGTCAATAATAAAAAATAAAATATATTCACTTCTATCTAGTTCTTGAATGCATCACACTTTAGTGCAGTCCTTATTTACTTTGTGCAGCTGTTTTGTACACCTTCCTTTTTAAATTTGACCCACAAATAAATAGGCAAAGGTCTAAGATCGGGTGATATCGCCGGCCAATTCCAGGGTCTTAAACGATTGAACCCAGTGATCTTTCAAACATTTCGAACAGCTCTGCTGTTACTTGGTCGGTACAATGAGCAAATTGAAACCATCAGATGAAATTTAATCATCATGAGAAAACTTCTTGAGAACTTGGTGACAAATCGAAAAAAGTTTTTCCCATTTGCTTAACCACATTCGGATTCTCATCTAGACTAGAAGTGTTCGTTTGTTGTGTTGAAAATGTAAGGATCAGGATCAGAAGCAGATCACAAAAGTGAATTCTTTTATAATTCTCTCATTTGAGGGCTTGGGATTTTGTAAATTTGTAGGGATCCTGCTTACGAAGGATTTGTTGTTGAGTACACAACTTCAGTCTTAAATCTTAGCCTCAGGATAAGCGATACTGGTTTCAGATTATGATACATTTCATTGAACATTCTTGCTATAGTTTGACCACCTTGTTATGAGCTTTTTTAACTCTTCTACAGCATAATTATTAATAATTACTCATTAACTATCCAATTTTCCAAAAATTATTATTATTATTATTATCCAAAAATTTGCTTCCATTTCGGAGTCCTCAATATTTAGATACAGGAACCTTATCATTTGAAGAGGCTTGAATCGTCTCCAACAATAATTGATAAAATATAAAATGTTCCATTTGAAAAAATGGAATTTTCATTATTTTTGTTTCGTAGATTGAATTTGTGTACATAAACTACAGCCAAAATTGTAACTCTTAATTTCTCCAAACCTGTCAAGACAGGTGTAGAGAGATACTAAACAACAATAACCAGAAATTGATGAAGGAAAGGAACGGAATAATGTACAGGGTGTCCCATTTGAAATATCAATGAAATATCACGATCAGCAAAATAGCAACCCAAAATTATTTTGAATTATTTTTGGAATACATTTTTGAGGTACGGTGTAGTAAAATGTTTTTTATGGAACGCCTGAAATTTGACCTCCAAAGAGTGTGAAAAGGGACTTAGAAGAATTGGAGAGAGATTTTTTCCGTATGACTGAACATTACAGGTCGGCCCTTAAGAATGCCTTGTTAAAGCAGGCATCGCATAACTACGAAAGTTCAAGACCGTTTTTTAAGAGTTGCTTTGAGATAACCGTTTGTGACAGGAAGATTGCTGCAGGCATAATTACAGTTCATTCATGCCTAGCTGAATCTGAAACCTAGCGCTCGGACTAGCTTTGAGCCCAAGGCATCGTAGAGCAAGGTTAAATTTTACTCGAGAACACATCGTTCGGGCTGATGAAAAATGTGAAAGAGTTCTTCGGTCAGACGAAACCAGATCTTGTTTCTACAACTCAGATACGCCCAATGAAACTTCCAAAACACCGGATTAGTTATGGTTTGGGGAGGAATCTCAACGACTCGAACTGATTTGGTGGTTATTAGTAATAGTAGTTACAGCAGATTATATTGGGGAGATCCTGCAGGAACATATGGCCATTTAGCGATTACATTGGTGAGCGAGATAATGCTCGACCTCATTTTGTGTTGGAATTGAAACTAAGAATTGGTCGGCAACCCAATTGATAATGCTTCAGTTTCTGAGATATTGTCCAAATATATAATAATTTGGATCAAAACGAGATAAGGCCCGTACTTTAATATTTTTTTAACTGTTATTTTTTTTCTTATCTACTTTTGGAATTTTATCTTTTTGTTCCTTATCAAGTTAGAGTAAGAATGTGCTTAATTAGGATATGAGTATTATGTAGAAAATATATTTTTTAAATGATCAGTTGATTAATTAGTGGCGCTAATTTTGCTGGCTTGTGTAAATTTAATCGATAGATGGTGCTCACCAAATTTTCAATTTTTCTATTTTCGTTGGACATAAAAATAAAATTTGAATGAAATAATAAAATATTTTTGAAAGTGAAACTTCATTTTTTGAAAAAATCTGGAAAACAAAAAAGCCAAACATACGCCGCTGGGGTAACCAACTTGCCGAAAAAAAAATTGCAAAACTGCCCATTTCACCATTTTTGCGCATCTCGTAGTTTCGAACATATCAATACAATCTCGCGGTCTATGGTATGTTATGCCCGTGAAAAATAGAAATTTACAGCGAGATTTATCTCCTTTCTTCGTACGAAAGCCATCATTATTAATTCCCGCAACGTACCACGGCAAATAGAAGATTTATGGCGGCCCTAGGAGAAATAGCTCCGATTTAGAAGTATTAGGGTGCAGTTTTTCTGCCGCCTCTATTTAGGACTATAACTTACGGCCAAACGGCACACAAAAGGCTATCGTCGCCTTTTAGGAAATTAGTTTTTCTTTTTTGTGTAGCAAATATTGTTGTTCGAAGCGGATTTTTTTAAACGTTCTTTTTTCTGTCCTTAGGGTTCGAGTTTGGGGTGGCCTCCGTAATCGGGATAGTGGTCGCCATTTTGTTCATAATCTTGGTGGTTTCGATCGTCATTTTCGCCAAAGTAACGGGCCGGTGGTGTTTTAGCGGTAAGTAGGGTTCGCTTCAATTGCAAAACAAGTTAATATTTAATTTGATGGTATGTGGTAATGGTATCAATACGTAGTGCATCTCCGATACTTTTTTTTTGTCTTGCAGTATTTTATATTTTAGTTAGCCTGAAATTTGAAAAATGTATTTTAAATTTTAACGTCTTAACAGTTTCGTTTTATTCTGTAATCTACATGGTGTCTAAAAAAATGTTAAAAAGCGTAGGGAGATCAAACTAGAGGCATAGAGCCCTCCTATAAACTTCTGAAATGCAGCTAAAATAACTTTCCGATTCAGGTAATGGAAGGAAACTTGCAAACATTTGCAACTGACATCATACAAAATATTGATTATCAAATCTTCAAGCAAAAGAAAATCGAACTATCACAAATTAAAAAAAAAACGTTATATTAGCAATAATACACTTAAAACTTAACTTGATTTCGATTTTGATTTTTTTTTAAACTTGAGATTGATTTCTCAGTAATCAAACAGATAACCTTTTCCTCCCCAAAGTTAGATTACCCTGTAAAATGCAATAGCGGCGGGAGCTGTTTTTAATCACGACATTATCTCTGATATTATTTGATTTTTATTAGGCTAAAATGACATGTGACGATTTTTGTAGAATGGCATCAAATTTATAAAATATTATTTTGAGAAAATCTTTGGACTCTGCCACACGCCCGACCCAGTGGTAATCGCAAATGTAACACCGATTTATAAAAAGGGTGATAAGCTCGACGTTTCAAATTACCGCCCTATCAGCCTAGTGTGTATTATATGTAATGTTCTTGAACTCCTTATAGTAAATCAGCTGGTACCGATTTTGATCACCTGCCATATTATATATACATCGCAGCATGGCTTTGTTCCCGGCAGATCAGTCACATCAAATACATTGACATGCTTGAATCACTTGACTAGGTGATCCGCTGGATATTATTTACCTCGTCTTCAGCAAAGCTTTCGACAAAGTGCCACATCGACGCTTGTTATTCAAACTTGAAAGGTCGGAGTGGGGGGTAAACTGCTAGATTGGATAGCGCCGTTTTTAAGCCACCGGTCGTTCAAAGTTCGAATTGGTAACGCTTTTTCATTGCCACAAAATGTGCCTGGTGGTGTTCCCCGGGGATCGGTGCTGGGACCAGTGCTATTCTTAGTGTACATCGTGGATTTGCTCTCCAGCATTGATTCTCATGTGAGCGCTTATGCTGATGACACAAATAATTTGAAAATCCTTCAACACATGCGGACGTATTGCAGAGAGACTTGAATACTATATCCGAGTGGTGTTCAACTTTTCTATTGCCGCTGAATGCTCAAAGTGCTCTGTGCTGCATGTTGGCAAGAACAATCCCGGTTTGAACTATTATATCATTGGAAACTTTGTGTCAAGTCAACAGTCACCGGTCTATAAATGTATCAAATACTGCAAAGAAAGCAAGCTGCGCGTTATTTTTGTTAAAAAAGACTTCTAAAAATCCTAGTCCTCGCATCGCTTGCAGTCTTTTTACCAATTACATTCGCCCCATCCCGGAATTTGCTTCCCCAGTCTGGAACCCTTCGCTATTGCGTGACTGTGATGTTCTGCAAAGAGTGCAACGAGCCGCTACGCGCTGGCCACTTCAACTTACACCTTACGATGACCGTCTCAAAATTCTTAGTCTGCCAACATTAAATCAGCGTCGGCTGCAAGGGGATTTCATTCAAATGTATGGGTTTGCGCATGACCAATTTCCATCTGACGTGCCCTGCGCCTACGTCGTCATCCATTGAAATAAGAAAGGAATAATTCTGGACTTCACATCGAATGCATTTTATAATAGGCTAGGATTATTGGAACAGTTTACCTCCAGATGTTGTGTGTGCGCCGAACTTGTCTGTATATAAACGTCGATTGGACAGTGTATTGTTTCACAGCAATAACTAAATATTTATTATATGTATAACATTATCATGCTACTATCAATGTGCATAATAGGTTCTCCTCTGCACTTTATGCTTTGTAATAATAATTTTGTTTACAAATCTTCTGGGTTCCTACTGCATCGGTTGTTGACAGGTTGCCGACGTTTCGCCAATCGTGTTGGCTTCTTCAGAGCTGAAACTGGCTCCATTGTTCTCTGTACCTGCCTATATATTCCCATACTGGCAGAAGTAAACACCTTAGTTACGGTTAAGATTGTTTTACTGTTTATTGAGGTCTATAGATATAGATATTCGGCAACTGCTGATGAGTTTAGAAGTGGCAAATCTGATTTTGGCGTTATATTTCTTAAGAACTTTTGATATGTGGTCAGTGATGTTTTGGATGCAAGGCAAGTTTGGGGTTGCTTTCAAACTCATTGTCTTTGGAAGGTTGTAGTTCATATGTATTTTATAACGGAACGTTTAATATCTGTAAAGTGGAAATTATTCGAAAGAAGAGCAGATGAAAGGTGTTTTAATTCTGGGTTTAGTGACCCGGGTTTTACGACGCTCTGTAAACAAGAGACTTGTTTGATAGCTGGATCGGTTTGTGTGCGTAGGTTTTCTGTAAACAGAATTACCCAAAATATGTAAGAAATTGTAAAACATATGTTCGGTTTATATAGTTTAAGTGGCCAAGAAAATTGCAGAGTGATTCTTGGCCATGAAGATAATCTATAAAACACATGTACACACTCATTCTTGAACTAGTACTTGCGTGCTAAAGAGAGCATCTCTTGTTAGCAGATCATTTCTGAAGCCAAGTTGTGTTTGAGACAGCTTCTTCGCACTTTTTGTATATCCTGTGTTGAATAAACTTTGGGAATAGTCATAAGGCTTATAGTCCGATACTCTGAGCGAGCTTTTTTTGGTAGACTTCAACGAGCCCTGTATGATGGCCTTATTCTCTGCTCGTTTAAGAATATCAACATAGCTGTAGTCATGGCCTGCTGCTTTACCGTTGTTTGACGTATGTCTTGCATGGTGGTGTCGGTCGCGATTGTGATTTTTATATTCTCTGTTTTGATCGATTAGGTTCAGAATATCTTCCGTCATCCATTCCTGCTTCTTTTGTCGGTGTTGGGCATTGTAAAGGTGTTGTTGGTTCGTACTATGTGCTGATAGTTTGCTTAAGACGCAGCCATGACAAGTTGTTAATGTCAAACAGTCGCGTTGAAATAGAAAAGCTGACACCACTGTTGTACTATAGAGGATGTTCTAAATGTTTTGCTTCCAAATTCATTTCTACTGAAATCTCAATAATCTAATCTGAGATTGCATGGTTACTAAGAAATCAACGTACAACTCCTTGGGTAATGTTTAATATGGGTCCAACGTACTTTGAAGTTAACGCGGCATTGTTTAAAACTTGAAGTTGTACAAACTTGACACTGAAATTCGGTTTGTTGCCTCTAGGGGCGTACTGTTTAACTGAGATATAAAATCCCCGTTAGTAATCCATTGTGAGTTTTATATATAAAGAACGTGCTTTCAAAAATTGTGCATGGCTATGGATGTATTTAGCATATAAAACCCGAAAAAGTGTTGAATTATTTTACATTCCGGAGTAAAACAATATCTATCCAAATACACTTTTCTGTCATATAAAAGTGTAGCCGACAAATACCCACCCAATGCAATACAGTATGTAATGACCATTCGAATTGATAATATAGTGAATATCACAAAAGATGACAATTACGTCACATTATAAATTGTATGAAATAATAAATGGACGTACTTCGGTGATAAGACGAGTAAGGTCACGAGGTTATGTTGTGACCAATGATCACAGGTAGGTCGGGTTAGGTTAAAGTTAAGGTTTGTTTCAATTGTTTTTAGTTTCTTTCTATTTCTGTACTAAATAAGTTTGGCTTGAGGTGAATTTTATCTAGTCAAATGAATTATATTTTACAATAGACTAAAAACGAAAAGTATTCTAGGGTTAGATTGTTGGAGCGCTACCTATCATAATTAGGTATTTAGTCTAGACCATTTAATTTAATTTTAATAAATTTACATTTCTTTTAGGTCGAAAAGCTTTTATTATTATCCAAGATGTGTATGTTATTTGTTGCAAGTTCATAATTATAATGAATATTTTTGGATAATTTTAGTTAATAAAATTTGGCTAATCTTAGGACTAGTTTTATAATAGTATTCAGAAAAGATGACGATTCTCTCGTTGTAAATAAGAGTCTTTCAATTTGAAATCAATAGCTTCGAATTCACACTGGTATGGTGGTATTTCATTACCATGACTTCTGATGATTTCACCACATATTTCTTTTCTTTTCCATTTCTGGCTGAAATTCAATTTTCTTTTTAACCAACCACTCGCTGATTTCGTTGAATTTTTGTTTTGAAAAATGAATTAAAAAACGGGGCTCCAAACTATAGACGCAAGCCAACGAAGAACTACAAACTCCTCACTTTCTGGGCTTTCAGTTAAACGCGACGTTACAAATTCGTCCATCCTTATCGGATATATCGTAATTGTCCGTTTGTAATACAATAAAAACCATAAATCTTTACTATAGTGTAAGATCCGAGTGTCAAATAAAATAAAACAAGTTTCTAAAGTTGACTTGTTATGGCAACCTCAACGGAAATGTTCAAAATTATTTTTAATTGAAATTAAAAAATTTATATATATGCTCTCTAAAATTGAACATGACGAAGAAAAACTGGAAATTGGTTTTAATGAAAAATCTTACAAACATTGTTCTTTAAAGTTATCATTTCAACGATTGTGAGGTTCAAATATGTTGAGTTAACCCAAAATCTAAACAGTTTGAAGGTTACCACTCCGCTTGTTACATTTATTAAAAAAAAGAAGAAGAAATTTTTTTTCACCATCTTTTATTTGACCAAGTATCTCACATATTTCATCTGAATCGAAAATTGATGAAAGTAAATTCAAATTCTGAAACGCTAGTATTTTTTGAGATTAAATTTGTAGAAAAACAGATGATATTTTATAGATGAGAGAAAAAGAAAATGAAGACGATTGTTCTGACTTGGAAAATGATACAACTTCCGACGACTCTGATTCTGAATAATTTGTTACTTCTATTTGTATGATCACTTGTTGTACTGTACTATTTTTCATTTTCCTGGTGAAATATTTTTTAAGAATATTTATTAGTTAGTACTTTTAGCTAAGATTTTCAAAAGCTGAGTTGTTACAATTAAATAAAAAATTATCCAAAACACTGCTCTATAGTCACTTAAGTATGTGTCTTACAACTAGCACCTATAACCAATTTTTTAAGACAACCTTATACTACAATATTTATAATTAAAATACTTTTATTTTAAGACTAGTCCGGATTGGTTGACAAAAGAGTGCCATTATTAACACCAATTTACCTGTTTAACCGCAGCTGCCATTTAATAGGGACCAAAAAAAGGTAAGCTACTGTGGTGTTGCATATTGTGTATATGCTTTTCACGTGAGTTGCTTTAGTTTAATTTGGTAGACATACCGGTGAAATATATTTTTTTTGAATTTTAATTAAAAATAATCTTGAACATTTTTGTTGAGGTTGCCATATCAATTCGCGTTCCTTGATTTACGTGATCATAGTGCCCCAGTGGAACTGGACATGGAATGTGAATGTGGATGTGTTTGCCCGACATTTTATAAACCTATGTAATAATAATAATAATAATAAAGTGTTGGCAAACTATCCGAAAGAACGAATGAACCGAATTTAATACGTGTAGTTTGCAAGTTTGTTTCCGTTTATGGCCGGTCTTGCAATTCGCATTTTACGATTTTGCCCCTCTAGCTTACGCGGCGCCTTAAAATACCCCCGCCACATCCCCCCCCCCCCCCCCGCCGACCGCGAATAAAAGCTAATATATCAGACCCGGACTATTGCGGCAAGTTGTTTAGACGCTGACCGAACCCACGTGTTTTGCTAGTTTGTTTTTGCGCTCGGAGTAAACAAAGGTGGCGGCGTCGCGTTATGCGCTTTGACGCAAAACATCGTCGATCGCGACAATGACGTCAAAGCAACTCGCGCGCCGCGCCTTCTAGATTTGCCCCCGCTCTGAACTTTCATAACAAAGGCGTAACGCGAGTGGAAACGTAATCTGTTTATTATAAACCTAATCGACGATGGAGTAGACAAATAATATTTTCTCTAAATGAATGAAAACCTCTCTTGGTCGTACAATCATCAGTTTCGCTATTTATAGGGGATAAAACCGGTTCCGGCCAATTATATTTGTTAATAATGAGTTTGGTCGCCAATGTCTTTGGTTATAGCGTCATTGATCCGAAAGCACTCAAAGCACCGATGCATGTTTACCGTTTTCCGTGTATGTGAATCGCATTGCGTGTTTTATGTAGGCCAATAAGAGCGCATGTCGCGGGCGGGGCCTTCTAAAGTGCCGCCCCGTCTGAAAGTTTCTGTTGCGATAAGGAAAACTTCAGAGTCGGGCCGGAGCATATGAAGAGTACATGGGAAAAAATGAAGGTCCAAAAAACTTAATTCTCAGTAATTGTAATTTTTATTTAATAAGACTACTCTAGATCATGGTAAACAAAAATAGGATTTTGGAATATAATTATTGCTAATTTGAACTAAAATATTTTTTCAAAACAAAAGTATAAAAAAGAAACCTTGATTACAATATAAAAAAAACTTGGCAATAAAGATGAAGGTCTATTTTGAGAACAGGATCTTTTTAGTTAAAGCTAAAGTTGGAAGCAAAAAAACACTTTTCAGGTAACGAAAGTCTTTTTATTTTTTGTTTTATGACAACATCTTCAAGTTCTCTACCATTATAACTTTCCCCATGTATCCTCATACGAGGATGATTTTCGGTTACAGTTAATTCTTTGACCGGTCTTAAAGGCAAAGGACACTTGGGGATATAGAAATTTGGTCCAACCCTTAAAAATGACCTGGTCTTCACAAGACTTTAAAAGGGCTTGGTTTTGTTCGAGAATCCCTTAAAACTGCATTCCATTTTTGAGGCAGTTCAACGTCTTCTGTTTCACTAAACCCATAGTTCTGTCGCATTCTAGATACGAATACCATTTTGATTGTGTTAAGTGTTTTAACAAAATGAACAAGATAATGTAACATTCTAAACACCACGAAATTTTGATTTTGTCCACAGGATGAATCGCAAAATATTGTAAGCTTCTGGACACCAAAATCCAGATGGTTAAAAATGTAATCCCATAGCAGTGAAGAAAAATCATCAGCACTTTTTTTCCTAAAACTTCAGTATAAGTATAGAAAAAATACGTGACATTAGTTGTAATATTCGGCAGAAAATCCAATACAATAGCATCCTTGAGCTCCTTTTTAAGTCTCAAGTCTAGCGGCTTTTGTACACTTATAAAAAGGAGTCTTCTCTTCTTAAATGTACTTCTTTTTCAATTTTCAAGCTTAGCAGTTCAGTGTGTAACTGCAGTTCATTGTGATCACCTGCACTTTGATTAATTTTTCTTCCAATGTCGTCGATTTTTACTCATCGCATCTACTATAGGTATCGCATCGTGAGTTCCCAAAAGCAATATTAAACTTGGTGTTGAATATTTCTCTATACTTTTCATAAGAAACTAATTTATCAGTATATTTTTATTTGTACATAGAGTACATTCTCTCAATATTGCGCTCAACAGGTAAATAAATTTTTGTTGTTTTAGCCAAGCCATAGTGAGACGTTTTACTCTTAACACCTAATGTTTTCCATGACCGAATCTGTTACTTCTCTGGAAAGTCGAATTAGGCCTGGAAGAGTGCTTTCCTCACATATCTAATGGTGCTGAACCTCTGATTTCAATCCGCTTTGTATAGTTTGTAGCTTTATAGCACACTGGGAGTTCACAAAGTTCGTTGTTTTTTAAATGAATGAAAATTAGCTTCATCTTCAGATTTATTATTAAACCACTCAGATCAAAGGATTGTTAATCATAACTTTGTAGTTGATTAAAGTTAGACACGATCGTGCTTAAATCGGCCGCATGGAGATTTTGGAAACATTTAAATTTTGAACATTCCATTCCTTGTTTTTTGTTGCTCAGCCATAAGAAATACACCACAAAACTTTTAAAACAGAATAATTAATAATTACACCAGTAAACTTCAACGTCAATAAAAGCAAGTCGATAATTGTTTACGATCATAAGCCGGCGAAATAGCACGACGTTTTCATTTCCTATGGACTGTCATCTTTCTTGCGCACAACATCTGGTACCTTCATCTTTTTGCCCACTACTATATATTTTAAATTCTGTTTTTTTGTTTGTACTGTCATTTTTCTAGCCATTTCTTATAGGTGGATAGTATTCTATAGCCGATATATTATGCGAAATAACCGTTATTCTCATTTGGGCAAAAAATGGACCCTCATCTTTTTTCTCCTGTACTCTTCATATGTTAGCTTTTATTTTGTTGTTGTAGGTGGGGCGACGGTGATAGATTATACTGGGGGCGACGGAAGTCAGCACCATCACTCGGATGGGATCAGCGGCGATGGGGTGGACAACCCCCACCACCAGGTGTCCTCCGAATACATCAACGGCAACGATTTGCCAATCAAAAAGGACGAGAAGATCGACACCGCGGTATAATGACTTTGCCCCGCCAACAGTTTCGTTGCCTTTTGCGATTATTAAAAGTAGGTAAAAAATTGCTAAATGTCAAACAAGGGATTGTTATGTTCTGGATACCGTATAGGATATTATTATATTTTATGAACGAGGATTTATGGCAGCTACGGGCTGCTAGTGTTTAGCAATTGTTTTCGTCCATTATTTTGCGGGGTTGATTTAAAATCGAAAGACGGCACTTTCGAAACGTTTGCCACTACATTCCATGTATTTTTAGATTTCGTAAAACTCTCGACAACAGCGCTGTATGCTTAGGGGTTGTGAATCTTTTACTAATGGCTGACCAAAAAGTTTTGACGCTCTCAGTACTGCACGTTTGTGCTCTACTTCTTCGTCAATTGTATATAACTAAACATGCCGTTTTTTTTTTTACTTCATCACTAAATTGAGTTAAACTTTCCCGAAATATACTCAAAAACGTCTTCAAAATCGGTCTTGACTAAAAACAAACCAAGAACAGTGGTACCAAGTTACAAGAGTCTACTCGAGAAATGACTAGGATAAACTTAAGTTAGCTATCTTTCGATTCAAAGTATGTTGTCTATTAGAAATTATATGTAAATATTACACGATATAATATATTTAAACTTATTTTCAAAAATAAAAAATATCTATGTACTGTATGTTTCAATGTCCAATAAATTACAAAAAGAAAATCGACGTTTCTCAACCAATCAAACCGTATGCAGGACGGTCGGGTTTTTTTTCACATGCCCGTTCTGTATACCGCTGTACGTGTAGAACATTAGAATAATTATTTGTATATTTATAGATATATTTTATAAAATATTTAAATAGTTTTACAGTTTAGAGTCGACGTGTCAATTTTTTGCTGCAAAATGAATACTCAATCACTACCAGCTTCTTTCTTTACATAAGTTTGCGATGCGACCAAAACCTGGCGATTTTAATTCGTGAAATTTACAAATTACTGCCATACGATGTCAAGACTATTTATTGCTATCCTGTTAAGTTGCTTAAGTGTATTATTGTAAGGCCTGCCGATTTTTTTTTCCTATCTCCATAACTTCGACGGCTACGACAGTCATTTCTTCGTCGGAAAATGGGTTTAAAAAATTCCGCGGGCCTGTAGAAATTTCGATTCAGTTTCCATTTGATACTCGTGACTAGTATTATTTTTTCTCTGAATTAGTTTTAGGTTACTTTTCTTGTAAGATATGACAATAATTGTTTCTTTTTTTCTATATTAAGATACTATTGTATTGTTAGGTATCGCACCATTTGTATTTTGTTATTTATAAAATTAATTTGATTAAGTTCCGCCCTTTACGCGAGATTATATATCGTTCTTATGTAACGGCACCTTCACTTTTTCTACTTCGAAATATTACTGAGTTAAGCGTTGTAAAAATTTTGTAAGTTTGTGTACTTAAACCACTTTTCAATTGTTTTATAAATAAAGTTTATTATTAAAACGTGCTTGCTTCATTGCTCCTCGCGCGCCCGTCACCAATTACCACATACCCTCGTTAATTATAATCGCGAAATCTACAATCTCCTTTATTATTTTAGGTAACCCGGACACCAGATACTTGGCAGAATCGTAAGTATCATTCGCTTTGGCCTCTTTCCACCTGATATCACGCTTAATCTCACGTTCCAGCAGCGACACAGAGAGCGCAGAGGTACGGCCCAAAGAGTCCAAACGTCAGCTGTCAGCGATAAAGTTGGGCTTCTTCAAGAAGAACAAAGACAAAGTTGCGGCGGGGGAAGAGCCAGGCGCGCAGAACGCGCAGAACACGTTAAAGCCTGAAACTGACGCGATTTCAGCGCCAGAGAAAACCAAAGAGAAGGAAGGGCTGGTCTACGCCGAGCTGGACTTGGTAAGTCCGAGTCCAAACAGCCCGGTACTCAAGCCGGTGGTCAAGAACGACGACGAGAAGACGGAGTATGCGGAAATCGTCTACACACCGATGGACGAGGAAAACAACGAAGAAGATAGCAACGAGAAGAACGAGAAATGATGGAAACAACGTTATAGTCTATAGCCGATACCGTCCGTGTTAGTGAGGTTTCAACTCATGATGTATTATAGCACAGAATATGTTATATTATAGCTACCTATAGCTACGTTTTCTTTGTCCAGTATCAGGGAACTTCCCATTTCTTTCTAAGAAGTATTTTATATAGCTTTCAACTGTATTTTGACTCCTTTTAGATTAAGGCTGATCAGATTCGTAAGGTCCTCGGTACTTAATGTTTTATACGTTTCCAATAATATATTTTATAAAACCAAACGCGTTTTTTTAGGATCCTTCCGTCGCTAAGTTTTACCTTGTTTAGACGGTCTTCTTGTTTCTTTTTGACTTCAATTCATCGGCTTCAAATCGACAACGTCGACGTGGTAGATATAAAAATCACCGCCGCGTAACGTCAACACCAAAACGTGCAACAGCCTATTGAGGGTGGTAGCCCTCAACGCGTACGCCCTCTCTTGTCCCTCCGAGAACATCTGGCCGCCGTACGAGTCGCAGTCGAACACGAAATACTCGTGCTTTTTCGTTTTCCCGAACGCCACCTGCTTCTTGGCGCTGGCGTCCTGCTTGGTGACGTAGATGATGCCGAATCTTCGGTCGAAATCGTCGAAAAACAATCTAAAATTCGGACAAGTCTGACTAGTATTTGAACGATATTGATTGACATGATAAGGTAACTGTTTGGTTCAAATATTTGCAGTTTTCGTGCGGTTTTAGGTACGATATTTGTCGGACCACCTGATTTAGACTGGAATCTGTTTCAAATGAATAAGAAAAACCCACTATCAGTTCAAGAACGTGGGTTTTTAAGTATATATCTGCAGCTCTAAAGTCGATTTCGGTCCCATAAATCATGAAAATACTATCCTTGACTATGATTTGCTCGAAATCTTGAGGGAAAACCAACTATTTGTCCTAGAAATACAGGTTTTATGTTCATATCTGCATTTTTAAGGTCAAAAAATAAAATAAAATAAATATAAATAAATAAATAATAATAATAAATAAACGCCAAAGATGCCGATTTTGTCTAGTACTTAAACGATATTGACCTGAAAAGGTTACTGTTTGGAACAAAAAATGATAGGATTTTGGGTACGATATTTCTCCAAAGAGCCGATTTAGTTTGAAATGATTAAGAAAAACCTACTACCGGTTTAAGAAAGTGGGTTTTTAATAATAATAAGCTATGAAAAATCTGTTTTTGACTATGATTTGCTCGAAATCTTGAGGGAAAACCAATTATTTGTCCCAGGAATAGGGGTTTTAAGTTCATATCTGCATTTTTAAGGTAGATTTCGGTACAATAAGAAATACGAACAGGCAATCGAAATCGGCAACTATTTGACCCGTTTTTGTTATAAAAAAAGCCGACTAGTACTTGAACAATAGCTGTTTGGATCAAAAAATATTTGCAGTTTTGATGCGGTTTTAGATACGATATGCCCGTGTCACCCGACTCACCTCAAAGCTTTAAACAAATTGAACTGGGTGTTGCGCACTAGGAACATCGTGCCTTCGACCACCGCGGTGAAGATCACCTTGAAGGTGAAAGGGAAAATGTCACAGTCTTCCTGTGCATAAGAAATCCAACGTTTAGGGCCTAATCGGAACGGTGAACTTTTAGCAATACTTTAAGGTCATCAACGGACAACTCGTAGTCCTGCTCGCCGATGTCGCGGACGCAGGCGTGGAAATATTGATCGCCGTTCACCAAAACGGAATCCATCACCGCCGGGTTCCATTCGGTGAAGTCGTAGATCTCCAGCATTCCGATAAAAGTGACCAGATTGCATAACGTCTGCTTACCCCGCGATTCAGGTGCGAACCTAACAAAAAGTACCTTTTATATTTCGGGATTTGTATTAAAAAACTATAAGCTAGCAACAAATATGACTTTATTGGTTCTGCAAACATCCCCAATTTCACGGTAAGTCACATGGCGAACCTGCAAATTCAGTTTCCGCACTGCATCAATGTTTTCTTGGACAACCACCGATTGTGGACGAGCTTCACGAAATTCATCCTTAATAAAACTACGACCACGATTGAAGTCCGAAAACTAGCGATAAACAGTCCTGATAATTTTTCAAAGAAACTTCCACAGGCTACTGTAATATAATATAAAACTTCTGGATTCCTCCTGCTATCACCAGTCATCGCAAATATATTTATGGAAGCCTTTGAGAAGAAAGCCCTCGACACCTTTCATCTAAAACCAAAATTATGAAAACGCTACGTCGATGACACTTTTGTTATTTTCCCCATCGTCCGGAATCACTAGTAGATTTCCTTAGACTAACGTACGTTTTACCATTGAAATAGAAACTAATAACAGCCTCCCATTTTTCTTATCAATAGAAAATCAGACCTAACCTTCGGTCATTGTGTTTACGGAAAACCTACTCACACAGACCGCTACCTTAATGCATTGTTTATTGTTTGTTAATTGTTTAGTGTTAGAGAGCCGTAAAACTATCTCAGTTCCGAGTCATTGAACCTAGAACTAAAACACCTTACCTCTGCTCTTCTCTCTAATAATTTCCACATTAAAGATATGAAGCGTTCCATCACAAAATACACTTCACCATAACCTTCCAATAGCAATGAAACCGAAAGCAATCTCATTGTCCTTCCTTATGTTCAAAACATTACTAATCACATTTCAAAAGTTCTAAAGAAATATAACATCAAAACCAGATTTACCACTTATTCCAAAATCTCTCAACATCTTCGATCCGTCAAGGACAAAATTCCATTTGTGATGCCAGGAGTTTATGCGGCAAGTAATACATTGGAGAGACCGGACGAAAAAGACCAACTAGGTTCAAAGAACATGAAAGAGCCTTGGGACTAAGATAAATAAACTCATCAGCAGTTGCCGAACACAATCACGAAATCGGACATAAAATTTTATTCGATAAAACTAAAATTGTTGCATATAATTAATTCTTCCACCAACGAAAAATCTGAGAGTCTCTAGAAATCTATAAGCAACCTGTCACCAATATGAGAATCAGTCATCCGCAACGGTGTCTATGCCCCTCATTTAGCTCCGCCCCTCTCAAACAAAATAAAAGCAGGTATAGAGTAAAATGCGAGAAGGTTTCAGTCAATCTCTGAAGAAGCCAACAGGATGATTGGCTAAACGTTAGCCAGTTCGAATCAACAAAAACCGACGGAATCCCGAAGTTTTATAAAAAGTAATAGTCCTAGAAATGAAAATGCTGCCGATTAAGTTGCACTTTTAACCGTCACAATTTTTTTTAATTTATCATAAAAAACACAAACAACACTCTTTCGCCAAAACCTAACTGAGTAAACCTTACCTCAAAGTGTCAAAGCTCCCTATAACAACGTTAGTCGCCAGATGGCAGGACTTTCGTATAAGCATGGTTAATTACCTTTCAGAGGTCTGGTGAATATTGCTGGTCAACGAATACAAATCGTCCGCGTATTCAACGTTCCAGTTGTACCACATCTTGTCCGCCGCTCCCCTCTCCAGGCCTTCGGGCGACGTTGCCACTCTTCGCGACCAGGGAAGTAGGTCGATCTTCAACCATTCGACGTCCTCGTAAAACGGCTTATCTGAATTACCACAAATCGTCAAACTTACAGACGGTAACGCGGTTATACCGGAATACCGAATTTCTCCGGTTTTACGGCCCGTCCCATTTCGTATTGGTTAAGCCTGTAGTTGATCAGCATATTCCTAGGAGCTTTTCTGATCGAGGTCACTTCGAACGTGTAAAAATCGTAACTCTCGGCGCCACCGGGAAGATCCTTGGACAGCCTCCTCTTAACCATCTATGCGAAGCGCCACCACCATTACAATAATGCGTTTGTCGAGTACACTCAAAGACTCACATCCAAATCGTCACACTTCAACCACCCAGCCATTGCTTCCCCGGTATACACCTCGTCTTCTTCCGTTCGATCGGCGCTTCCGGTGTCCCGCCCTCTAGGTACGCCGTGAGGGTAAAACACGTGAAAACATCCGTCGCCACTCTTGTGCACCACCAGACACTTGTCCGCCATCTGTACGAGGAAATACGCCATTTTCTTCCTCAACAGCGTGTCGACGCCGGTGCTCAAGTCCTTATTGTCGCGCCAATTCTCTATCCGGACCCGTTTAACTATAACGTCGAAGAAGTTCTTGCCGATAAGGACGTTCTTGATCGTGCGTTTGTCCGACACAGCCAAGTCGTCGGCGTGGGAGTAAACGTGATTACCGTATTCCAAAACCTAAAACCCATTTTCGGCACTCGTTCGTATGTGAACCGGCAAATAAAACCTCGTCGACTTTCTTCGAATCCCACTTCTGAATCGGGACCGACAACAGTGTCAGGCAGGCGCACAAACACGCGAAATGATCCTCGCGAAGCTGGCTCGCGTCTGCTTCGCGCACTTCCAGCGCTCGAGCACCTTCGATGACGTAAAAACCACTCTTGTAGCGATAACCACCTTTGCTGACCTCCTCTTTGGCCGTCGTCCGCACGTAACGATGATCTTCCCCGTCCGTGCCGTCTTCGGCTTCCTCGATCGCGACCTCTCTCTTCTCTTTGAAAACTTTCTTAACCTTGCGCGGCAAATTCTCGCGCGATCTGCGTACGCGTTTCACTTTCACTGAACTTAACACGAATCTAGTGTAGGTGACGTCATCGGCAGCGTCCCTCTTGCTTTTGTTGTACATAATGCGCGTGGTCAACGAACGCAGATCCTAAAAAGCAGCTTCAATTGCGCTAGTCAAACGGACTGGTCGGATACCTTGAACCGCGAGAAGCAAGCGACTCCTGTCTTCCCGAGACCATCGATCAGACCGACTTCATTGTTGCCAAAACCGTCGTACATATAGTAAAGGTGGTTTCTGTACATTAAGCCGCAAGCGTAATTAGGGGTGACCAAGACCCCAGCGTCCGATCTGACGAACAGGATTTTACCGATCGCCAACTCCAAAATGTTGCGCCTGATGTAGGAGTCGAAGACATACTCGACCAGACACGCGAATCGGGTTTTTCCCAGCGATATCTGCGGTATCTCCATCTTGGCCACCTAAACTAAATTCGTGAAAAGTAGTGCTCGACGCCGAAACGTTCGGCATATTGCCTGATCGTAACGAAATTTCGACGCGTTGAACAGCTCCGAACCGCATTTGAGGACGTAGTCCACAATGTCACCGGTCCAAGATAAAACGGAATACTTCTTTGCCACCACGCCGGCCATGATGCACACGAACGGTGCCATATACTCGACGTCATCGCCGAACTCGAAAATATTCCTGCGGCCTCGGATTATCTGAGAATCGTCCGGCAGCTCGACGAAGTTGGTTTCTTTCGTTAATTCCTCCGACTTGGTGACGTCCGAGATGACAGGTACGTAAGAATCCGACCAGTAATCTGCTTTAGCACGAGCCGGTCGGAGAGATTTCATTCGCTGTCTCCCCCTTATGTAGGAAGGGTACAAGATCTCTTTGCGGATGGGGAAAATGGTTAATTCTGTATTCATCTGCAACAATCCTCGGCTGAGTTTGATCCAAGAAGAAGTTCTAATGGGTTTACCTCTCCGCTTAACTTATTTGGCGTCATCATGGCGGTGTATTCGGGACTTGGTCTATAAAAGTCCTCGACCTGATCGATCCCTTCAATATCTGCAAACAAGTCCAGCTCCTTCGATTCCGTTTGTTGTTTATCTCCAAGCTCATCTTCGTAACTTTCTCCGTAAGCTTCTTCCAGTTCAATTTCTTCTTGAGTCAGTTCAAACGAATCCAGATCCATAAATGGAACTAGCAGGTCTTCCTTAGGTGGCACAGGTCTCGGAGGTTCGATCTAGAGGAAGCTAACATTCACGATATTGCCCATAGGACGGTAAAAAGATGGTGCTACTTGTGTGTCCGATAAACTGGGCGAATCTAGATCGGCAACCAGATCCGTTTGAACGGGTGTTTTGGCAATAAGCTCCACTACCGAGGGACGGAAAAGAGGAGGGATTTGATGCTCTGCCAAGCTCTGAACCGTTGAATCAATCTCGTATATCGACGCATCTAACGCTTCCCCCATCAGCAAACGTCTCATTGCTAGAGCGGAGTAATCTACGGTGACAGGCTTCTCAGTCGCCAGTTTCTTGCTCCTTTTCATCTTATATTTGCCGACTACCTCAGCCGGCAATTCGTCAAATGGGATGTGTTTAGGAAAATGTTCGTTTTGCACCTAAATCATTGACGCTCATTATAATATTACGTGCATAGAAATCGGTCCACTGTCATTTTTTTATTTTAGTTTTTTTTTTTTCTAGAAACTATTCATCTGACTCAAAAAATAAACAATACATCGAGTAAGAGATTTTTTTTATTTAAAGAAACTTCCACAGATTACTGTAATACTTTTTACAAAACTGGATTCCACCTGAGTCGAACTTGCTGACGTTTCGCCAATTATACTGTTGGCTTCTTCAGAGATGACTGAAACTAGCTCGTATTTTACTCTGTACCTGCTTATATATTGTTTGAGGGGGGCGGAGCTAAATGAGGGGCATAAACACCGTCTCGGATGACTGGTGACAGGTAGAGACCTGAGCCGCGGTTGAGATTGTTAGGTTGTTTATAGGTTTCTATAGACTCTCGGATTTTTTGTTGGTAGAAGAACTGATTACATGCAAGAATTATAGTTTTATCAAATAACATTTAATGTCCGGTTTCATGAGTGTGTTCGGCAACAGCTGATGAGTTTATTTGTCTTAGTCGTATTGCTCTTTCGTGTTCTTTGAGTCTAGTTGATATCTTTCGTCTGGTCTCTCCAATGTATTCTTTACCACATATGCATGGAATGCTGTAAACTCCCGGCATCTCAAATGGAATTTTGTCTTTATCGGACCGAAGATGTTGAGAGATTTTTGGACAAGTGGTAAATGTGGTTTTGACTTTACACCTCTTTAGAACTTTTGATATGTGATGTTTTGAATATAAAGAAGGACCACAGTGGCAAATGTAGGATTACGTTTAATATCTTTAATGTGGTAATTATTGGAGAGAAGAGCAGAGCTAAGGTGTTTTGATTCTGGGTTCAGTGGGCTGAGATAGTTTTACAGCTCTGTAAACAAGAGAGTTGATAACCGATGATTTTTGAGCCGGATGGTGATGTGACCATGCATTAAGGTATCGGTCTGTGTGCGTACGTTTTTTGTTAATAGCTCATCATTAGTTTCCAACTCAATGGTATAACGTATGTTAGGGTATATAGAATTTAAATGTCTAAGAAATTCTACTAGGGTTTCTTGATCATGAGGCCAAATAACAAAAGTATCATCGACGTAGCGTTTCCATAATTTTGAATTTAGGTGGAAGATGTTGAGAGCTTTCTTCTCAAAGGCTTCCATAAATATATTCGCGATGACTAGTGATAGTGGAGAACCTATAACCCATAGGGATTCTACGTCAAAACTAGAATATCTTGTATATCTAATGTAATGCTTTTTAATTGTGCAATGAAGTGAAAGGAACTAAAAGAAATTTATTCGATAAAACTTATTTATGAATCTTAACCGCGACTCAGGTCTCTACCTGTCACCTATTTGGGAATCAGTCATCCGAGACGGTGTTTATGCCCCTCATTCAACTCCGTCCCCCTCAAACAATATATAAGCAGGTACAGAGTCAAATACGAGCCAGTTTCAATCAAGCTCTGAAGAAGTCAACTGAATGATTCGCAAAACATCAGCAAGTTCGACTCAGCAAAAGCCGACGCAGGGAATTGCCGCTTTGCTGGTACTCACCGGATCGCGATGGATCTTACACACTTTCAACGCGTGAACCCTAAAGACGAGATCCTTAGAATCGAAGTTGTGGGCGATGAGATCGATCAGCGAATCGAGATTGGAGTGCATCGAAACGCACGCCCGTCCTTCTCTATCTGCGTAGCCTTCGAGTCCGCGTGAGTAGGGGTCGAAACAGAAATACATATTTCTTTGCTTCCACACGGCCAGATGGCAATTGTCGATCTGCACTATAGCGTTGGCGTTGCTACGGAAATAATCGTCCAACGCGCAGCTCAACTGGCAGCAGCATTTCTTGTACATCATGTCCATAGTCACGTTCTCGTAGATGTAGATTTCGACTGTAAGAAAAGAGTTGAAGTTCTCGACGTAGCGACCAAAAGGACCCACCTATATAGGGACCGATGGTGAATATCGCTGGCAGACTGGCCAGGTCCACTGCTCGCGATGCGGCACACTCCGCATACAACTGGTTTCCTATAATCATAATTTTGTCCACCGTAGCTCGGTGCCACGCACTTGGTGGCGTAATCCTCGAATACACCTTCAAAGTGAGTTGTGAACCCGGAGATCGGAAACTAACCGACCTTTTTTGATACCAGGCTGACGACTGACATGGGCAAAGACTGTTTGTTCCGAGCAAACCCGAAACACTTGTCTCCCAAGTCGAAGGACCCCAAGAGCACGGCCTTGGTCGCGTTCAAAACGTTATACGTGCTCCTAGAGTCTAAGCATTCGTTGTCTTCTGCCTCTTCCGGGTCGTCTTTGCCTAAAACCTGATGAGACAGTTTTCGATTTGAACCTCGACCCCGCCATCCACCAGAACCACCTTAAACACCTTTATGGGGTAAATAACGAAAGGCCAATTTCCTAGGTTTGACCTCTGCAGAAGTACGGTGACCAAAGACGGTACGTCGTACAAAATGGCCATGATGGCCGTACCGGTGGGTGAGCAGTAAAGGTCTTTGGTTCTAGCCTTGCCGTCGAAAAGGTAAAAGTACTTGTCTTTCCATATCGCCACATTCGTGCCTTGCGTCTGGAGTATTCCGGCTTTCTGCCTGGCGAAGAATATGTTCAACGCTTTGGTCAGATTGAAAACCCTCTTGTCCGTCGATCGGATCAGGCCGGAAACTTCCGGATCTTCCACGGTGAAGCGAATCTTTTTGTTTCCTACGTTAGCACCGTCTCTCTCACCATGTCGACTTTCAAACGTACGACTTTACCTATGACGCAATACTTATGCAAATCCTCCGGTTTCAACTCTATCCCGGACCTGTGCAGGTGTAACCATTTCAAACTGCTCAAGTACAGCCGACTGCCGGTCTCGACGATTTCGTCCACGTTGTCCGATGTCCATTTGTTCGGATGGCGCAAAAAAGAAAAACAATACGCCGCCACTGGTATGCACACGCCCTGCGCGTCTCTGGCTTTTTCCGAAACGTGTTCCGACCCTGAAAGGAGGAAACACCGAGTGTCATTTTTAGATTTTTTTTATATGCCTGAGTCATTTTGGGGATTAAGTGCATTAGTAATACGAGAGATGCTTTGGAAAAGCTGTAAACTAGTTCAAAGTATGTTTTTTTTTCAATTTTTTAAAAACCTCATACAGATGTGACAAGGCTGATTGTCACGTGCATTCTAAACGACAAATAACTCACAAGACCGTATATTTACTCACATTAAACAACTCAAAAGGAACATGGAATTTTATTTCTAAGTCGCTGTCGCAGTTGCTGCTAAATTGCTTGTCCGTCCGTTCAGGAAAAATAAGCTCAACCCTTACAAGGTCTCCAGCTGATGCGTTCTATTGAAGAGTGGTTCCAAACTACTACCAGAATCGGCAATCTGAACGATCCAAAAACGTTTTTATTACCATTTTTGTTCTCTTGTTTCTCTTCACTGGGGTGTCAATTTCTCTTTCACATCTGTTAACTCTGTTTTTCTTGGCGATAACTTTGGATAAGGTCTAATAATTTCAGGTGTGACGATCTTCCCAGCAGATTTTTTTCGCTACCTCACTGCAGCTAGGAATTTGATAGTGAGTACTATCAGCAAATCCCGGCCAAAATTCTCGTGAACAATCAAGTTTTGTAATATTGCTCGTTTGCTCTTTTGAATGGTGTAGTCAATTTTCTGCATATTGGTGGTTTCCTGGCTTGGAGTATCTTTTTCTTCGGAGTTCACCAGGTCTGGGCCGGTTATTCCTTCTTGATTTAGAGTACCTAAATCTGGTATGGTGTCTTCGTCATTTAATATGCCTGGGTCCGGATTATCAGTCACTAAGCTCGGAAGAAATTCATCATCGCCAAAAATATTTCTGTGGAGAGTGGAGAAGTGAATGCGCGTGGGTGCGCCATAGTGACAACTAAAATTATCTTCATGGTTTTTTCAGATTATTCAAACCAGAAACAGAACGATCGACTGGCTGAAACGTATGCGAACAACGAGAAAGAAAGGCGAGCATGACAATACCATTTTCTTGGGCAAAATTAAGTTCTTAAATGCTGACCATGGTTATCTAATAGAAGAGGACAAGATTTTCCGCAGTACCTTTCACATGATGATGAAAAAATTTAAGATATTCCTTGCATCCGACCTGAAGACTTTGCCGAACCTTGCGAACAGAGTAGACTCAAATTCAGAAAATGTGTCTTGGAGTGGACACGCGGAAACAAGAAAAATGGTGCAAAAGAAAGCAGCATTTTGTTTTGTTGAAGCTAATGATGACCCTTGCTAAAGTTGCTGCCACTGACTTTCGAATAGACAACTCCGCACATGAGTTTAAAAATCCACTGAACCAGGCTTGACCGACCATTTTATTAGTATTTCCATTTTCAAAGATATGGCATTAGCGTAGTTACATTCGATGCTTTAAGAACATGTTCAAGTTCGGGCTCAAATACTAAACGGACTGCATAACTAGATTTTGATTAAGCAATTCAACCTCTGGTATTTTTTGACAGTATCTTGCCCAGGTAATATATGTCTAGTTCAGCTGCCGCTTTTCTTATTGATTACCCATTCAACTTTACGAACCTAGCAACTCTTAACTCTTATCTCAATAAGTACAAAACTAAGGACAAAAAAATTAAATACAAAAAGTGTTTGACTCTAAGCATACATTTTATTTACAGTATTTTTATGTATACAGGGTGATCCGTTTGTATCATTACAGTAGCCAACTGTATTTTTTTAAATGGAATGCTATGAATATTTTTGAGAATTCTAATTTTGTGAAAAATAAACTTTTTAGTCTTTTGCGGAAAAACGGGTCTTTGAAAAATGTATTTTTTTGCACTTGAAAAATAAAATTGAGGATTTTTCTTTTCAATGGAAGTGGATAATTTTGGTTAGGTTTTAGTTAGTTTTGTTTTTGGTTAGTTAGTATTTAATACTTTGACCTATCAATGAAGAAAATATATTACACAGGCTGGTCAGTAATCACATAAAAAAATGTTTTTTCTAATAAAAAAAAACATTTTTTTAACACGGAACACTCCATATTGTTATTGGGTTTGGGATTTAATTTTGTATCATTTCATATATATAGCTTTTATTACAAAAATTGGTAGTTTAGAAGTTATGGCCAATTTTCGTATGTTTTATTTTAAATCAAACCAAACCTATATAATATCCTATTCTAAATTTTGCTTAAACATTAATTACTTTCATCGGCAAAATAAATAAGAACTAAAAGTTCAGATTTTCACGAAATTATATATATTCACATGACAATTGTTTCGACAACACCGTGGGTTTATCAAATCAAAAGATGTTGTCGAAACAATTGTCATTGTCAAAATCTGAACTTTTACTTCTCATTTATTTTGTTAAATGGATTTTCATTAAGTAAAAGCCACCTCAGTACAATTACTTAGATATGAACAAAAACAACAACTAATGCAAGTAAACTTATCATTAATTAGAAACCATTTTCTATATAACGTCCTTGTAGTATAAATATAAGGTAGTGTATATGGTTTTAATCTTCCCGATTTCAGTTTTCAGGTGTAAGAAAACACTTTTTTTTTAAAAAAAAGGAAAAATTTATTATTAAAAACTACTAAAATTTTTTAAAAATATTCATAGCATTCCATTAAAAAAACTCAAGTTGGTTGCTGTCCTGTAACACCGTGTATACATAAAAATACTATAAATAAAATATATACTCAGGGAAAAACACTTTTTGTATTTGACTTCTTTTCCTCAGTGTGTAACTTTTTGAGATAAGGTAAGGGAGCATCTGAAATGGACCATCAGGAGCTGCTTTTCCCCTATCTGTCTCTTAAAGCTTTGAACAATGTTTAGATCACCGGAAATCAACAAAAAAGACAACTTTACCTTAAAATCACGGAAAATTTAATCTCCCTATTTGAGATATTCTTTTATGCCTAATAAGAGAATCAATTCACCAAGTTCAGAGTCAATACTTACGTTAAAGAATGAAGAATGTCGTCAAAACACAAATACCGATTTTCATTTTTATACGCGAACTATTACCTAGGTATCTACGCATCTGTAAATCGTGCCGTTGCACAGTAGTCTACAGCACGCTTATTTTGGCCAAAATTATTTATTAAAATTTTTTATTGTGAATCAACATCAGAAACGTGTTTTACTTGTTATTTCCAGGATACTATTTATAGGCGCATCAACATGTGTATAACGGAATGGTACACGTGCTCCTGTGAATAAACCTCTGTTAAGAGGCAGAACTTGATTAAAAAAATAAACTAATATGATACCTATCTGTGAATCTAGCATCATCGTGTATCATCACTTGTGCACGTTACAATTTACCTAAATTTGAAAAGAAAATATTGCTTAATACTTTTATAAAATTGCAGCTTTTAACACTCGCGTTATTTATTGCCTTTGCTTGCATTTGAAAAATCATTCAGGCACAAAAACACTAACTTTGAAATAAAAACTACATATATGTGTATTTACAACTTTACCTACTATTTTCGACGACTCCCCATCTAAATCTTCTAATTTTTCCTCATCAAGACTGTATTCACAGCGATTCAATAAATCCTCAACTTCAGGCGGAAGGTGGTTTATTGTCAGTTCAGATTTGTTTTGCTCGATTAAATATATCAAGTTATTAATTCTGCTGCTTTTTCTAGCATGAAACTCCCTAGCCTGCTTATTTTTAGACTTCGAAGCTTCCTCACCAAAGACACCTATCGGCAACAAGTGGTTTTCAATGACCAGTCTCAAAACTTAGAGATAAGTTTATTGGAAGCTAACAATTGAGTGCCATAAAGATAATCCAGAAACGACATATCAAACTTTAAGAAACACCTGTTACCTCTCCAAATTCTTAAACATTGGAAAAAGCTTTCCTGGCCGTGTTGCCGTCGTTTTTAGATCCATAACGATTGCATTTTGACTTATCGACGTGCAAGCCTAAATGAGATCATCATATATTTTGCGTGAGCTTTTTTCGCATCACTAAAGATGCCTTATTTTCTGTACCTCTCACCTGCCAGATTTTTAATTCATTGTACTCAAAAAATCTTATCCAGCAATCCAGGGGCTTACATCATAATGAAATGCATAAACTTATTGTCTTCAAAATTTTTCAGCTGTAGCATCACAAATTCGGCATGCCTGGCTTGAACGAGTTTTGATGGGAATAGTTATGATTTTCCCATCAATCAAAGTAACATGAAAATTGTGGATCCAGGTTTGGTATTCTTGAAGATCTTTAATTTCATTGTCTAGACTTTCTTTCTCTTTCATAACATGATCTCTAGTTTCTTTGACATATTCCATTTTATACGGCCTGCAAAATCTCAGAGATTGGGCATTTCATTATTCCAGAGGATAATGCCATATGAGCTAAGGGAATCATGGTGTTAGCGAAAATACTCGCATCTTGTGTATCTCCAGAAGACATTTTTGACTGTAATGCATCTCTTCTGGCACTTTTTTCATCGTAAGGAAACTTTGAACTGACACTGACACTGATACTTGTTCACGCTGTATTGAAAATTTAGTTTTAGGGTCAGAATCGAACAAAGAGTTGAAAATATGAGTTTTTTCAAGAACATGCTTCTCATATTTATTGGGCAATTCATTTTAGTTTATGCTATCTAAAACATATTTGGCAACAGTGAATCGCTTTGCCAATGTCTTTTCTTCAAAATTCCAAAGATTATAGAGTTCCTGATTCTTGAACCTGTAGCGACCTAAATAAATGTTTTTTTCTCTTATATTTGAACTTGATAGCCAAAAAAGTACGCAGCCAGAAAGTCAATATATAAGAGTACCAAAAAACACTAACCTCAGAGTTATCACTTTTAATCATTTTTTACAGCCCTAACAAAAGTTCATAAACGCAGTTGTTTTCATGAAAAATGCACTGCGTCGTATTTATATCTATCACTAATTAAAACAAGCAAATATTTCAGAGTCTCTTCTAAAAATTTTCATAACCTTACCTGGGTTTGTAATGTCCATTGCAAAAAAAATTCTGGGTTATCACTATCACCAGAGATCGCAGTCGAAAAGCGAATGAAGTTTTTATTATTGTGGTACCAGCCATAAGTTCTCTTTCCAGAATTGACTTTCAGACATTTTGGCCAAAATCAGCGGACTATGTAGTAATGTGCGTTGGCAAGATCCAGACTTTGTGACAACCGGCTCCGGTCCCCCTAACCATACCTTGGTGCAAAGTCCCCTGCTTCGATCCGAAATAGAACTCCTTCAACACCATCTGGTTGATATCGGTAAAGGAGTGACTTTCTAACGTTCCCCTTCGAAATCTCCTCTTCTTCGGTTGGTGCCTTTTGATTTCCGAGTCGCGACGAAATTTCTGGACGTACTTTTCCACCGCTTCCGACTTGGAAACTAAAGCTCCTTTTTCGCCATACACCGCTTGTGAAAATTTCGACACCTGACTCATGAACTGGCCGGTTAAGTCCTGGTCCACATCCCCTTCCCCTTTGGGTTGTTTTTCGGCCGTTCTTCGTTTCGCGCTTTTCCGCGATTCCCCGCCTTCTTCCGCGATGTCATCCAGATGCTTCTCATCTCGATACCTGATATCACAATAATCAATGGGTTGCTCAAACTCCAGTCGAGTGTCCTACGGAGTGTAAGGTCTAGGTTTCCTCGAGTACACTAAATCGAAACTGTCGTAACCACCCAATGGGTCCGTGACCTGCGCAACGTTCACGATGATTCCACTTTTGGGCTTCTTCAGACGGAGCTCTTCGCTAGTTTGAGGCTCCGCGTGTAACCAGCTAGCAGTAGGGGTAACCGCTCTGGGGGGGACCTTGGCAACCGACACTTCCGGGGACGGTATCTCGAACTGAAGCAAGCTTGTACCTAGCTACCATCAGAAATTTAGCAGTTTATACCTCGCTTTGTAGTTTCTTAGAGGTGACTGGATCTGCCACCACAATGGTTTCGTATCGGCAAAATTTCTTGTAGGTATTCTTCCTGTTCTTCTCGAGCAATCTCTTTTGCTTCTCGGTCACCGGTACAACATAGCGAGATCTCGGCTTCTCTAATTGCGCAACGTCCTGTAGATCGATACGGGTGCTGTAATAGGAAACGTCAAATGTTGAGCGTTTGCTTCGTTCCCACTGGAACATTTACCCCATAGACGGCACAATTTTGGGTTTAACAAGGACAGCTTTTTTGATAGCAGGCTTTCTTTTGGGCGTAGATTTCTCCAATTGCCTTTGCTGTCCGACCGGATCGGCACTTTTTACGGTTGGGGTTATTTTGGGTCGACTCGTCGGCTCCAAACCCTCATTCGTTGCACTAAAACCTGGTAGATAATATGGATCAAAAACGTTCTAGTCGGATACCTTGGATTTTCCATCGCTTTCTTCCAAAAACTCAAAATTTGACTACGCACTACCCACGTCAAAGCTGACGTGACACATATTTTTTTTTGGACTAGCGTCAAAATTTACGTAAGACCAAATTTTTTGCGAATACTCTTAAGAATGGGGTACCTATTTCCCAATCAGTAGTATCGACCAAAGTAACAATTGGAGTTGCAGCGTAGCCAAAAGAAAGTACAGGCCCAAACCCAGGCCAAAGCCCAAAATCGACTACCCGCCGGTACCCAGACGGAAATGGATACCGCCCGACCAACGACCGAAACCACCCAAGCCCGAACCCAAATACATTAAACCCGATGGACTCACCCAAAAGCTTGCGGTCTCGTCTTTGAAGAGAGTATGGAATCAATACGACGTCATAGATAACGCAGCAGTGTTAACAGGAAACTTTAGTCAGTGTCACCGGAGGTTTAGCTTTAAAAGCAATGGCCTTCAAGGTAATAATTGGAGACTCAAATTGCTACCAACTTATCCAAACGCCTTCGATCTAGGTGCGTGTAATTCGGCCGTGGCATGCGTTTACTCAAAGCTATACAACATGGAGGCATGGACCAAGCGCCTCTTGGATCAAATCATTATCACGGGAGATGGGCTCTACCTTAAAAGCACTCAGGAGGGTGACAGGTGCACGATCGATATACCACCGGAGAAGGTGTATAAGTCCTTCTTCTTGGGAAACAAAAAAATCACTCTATTCGTAAGCGCCCTATCGAAAGTGACCGAAAATTTAACCGCATCCACCGAAGACACCGCAAAAAACATCATACTGGGTGTCGTGGAAGATTTTCTCAAAGATAATACCTCTGGAATTTTTTCAATGGGAAACAAGCACACCGCCTTGTGGACAGACGGCAAAGCGTTTCATTTCTTCGATCCCGAAGAGTATGACAGTCGTGGAAACGTATGGAAAGGTGTTCCAGGTATGCCATTGATCAGTCAAATACCCGCACTAAATAGGTGTTTAGGTGAAGGGGCTTGCCTTCTGGTCAGGTTCAAGAGCATCAAGAAGCTAGTGGAATTTTTATATCGATGTTATGCTGAGAACGCATCTATAACCTCGCGGTTTCAGCTAATACCATGCGGAATATCTAGAATGGTAACCGTAGACATCACACCGCCAGATACTTTTCAGTCAGTCAAGTCGAAGCAGGACGTGGAGTTATCGAAGTCCGAAGAACAATGTAAAACCAGCAACGGTGTCCGCCACACGTATTAATAATTCCGACTTCTTCAGTACCGCCTCCCAAAGACTATAAGCTTGAGGCGCTAGTGCAGTACGTAGGAGAAGACAAAGTCACAGCCGACGTGCGAGAAATGAGAGTCCATGAGATCTCTCCAGATGTTACGGAAACGTTCTCTTTGAGTAAACGACCATCTTGGCTTCGTGACGGGCCAATCAACAAGCAAGACGTTTGCCGTTATCCCATGCCAATTCCAGCCTTTCTCAAAAAGGAGTCTACCAAATTGAGTTACTACACGGGTATGGCATACGCATTTTCTTACCATCAATATAGCTAATATTTACTTTATAGAAATACCACATCTGGGTGGAATATTGCGCGGAAGTACCTATCAAACTGATCCCAAATTCACCAAATACGCTGGGCGTCAGAGCATGGGAAACGCTCTTTCGGCGCTGTTAATGCTCCGCCTCTGCAAGTCGAAGTTTTGGCTACCCAACACGATAGATGCAGTCCTTCAGTACGGCGACATCTTATATAGAAACGCCATGTTAACTATACCGCGATCGCAAACTCTGAGACTGTCTAATTTTCCGAAACGGGTCGAGTTCCACGGCAGGTATTTCACCCCTGTAATTGAGGAGTGCGTCACGGTAGGGCAACTGCAGAGTCAGGAGTACGACGTATTGGACTTGGAGCGGGGTCTTGAAGAGTTTTTCGTGGATAACGATTGTTGTATAGTACTTGGACCTCAGACGTTGGCAGTGTGGATCGAAGATGGAGTCTATTATATGTTTGACCCCGACGAAAGGGATCAGTTTGGAAAAGGTATTACATCGGCAATACTAGACCATTATACCTTACGATTATATCAGCAATAGACAGAGAGCAGACGGGAGGAGTCGCATGTGTTCGTCGAAGCAAACATCTTAAAGACTTAGTCGACATTTACATGCACAACACGGACAAGTCCAGACGGGAAGAGAGGTTCTACATATGCAGAGTCAGAATAGACGACTACCGCGCTCTTAGTGGATGGAACAATTTCGAAGGTATAGTTCCTTCTGAGTTAAAAGGTTTCGACCTAATGACTGGAATAAAAAGGAGTGCTACAAGAATTCGTAAATTTATATTACAGTCTCTATGTTGGCATTTAGTAGAGGCAACTTATAAATTATACACTTCCAACTTGACGCTCAGCATGAGGATGTTCCTCAGGGCTCCAATTTATTTTTTATTTCTATTGATGTTGTACATCAAGTTTTTGCTGTCGATTTTAAAACAATTGCAAAACTCTGGTAGATGCAATAAAAATATACTGGTACTTAACTCTCCTCTACACTACAAGGGTACCCTATAGATCAAGCAAGTATATATGTGTTTTTTTAGATTCTAAGTTAAATTAGAGTATTTCGCTTCCAATACGAATTGCTGTGTCATTCAAAATTTGCAAAAAAATTTGTAAATACCTAGAACCTCCAATAGATCTAACAATGCTAAGCACAGTGATTGATATCTTATTGCCATGCAAATTATAAGGACCCTTTAAATAATTGAGGACTAAACGGTAGTGCTGATTCAAATGATACCCTCAAAGAGAGTATACCAGCGTTTTGATAATTTTGGTATTAGATGGAAGGTGTCGAGACCTTTTTACTCAAAGGCTTCCATAAATATATTCCCAATGACTGGTGATAGTGGAGAACCCATAGCTGTTCAAGACGTTTGTTCAAAACTTTGACCACTATAAGAAAAATATTTTCCAGATTCTCAGATTTTAATATGTCTGAAATGATGTTGAGAGTTCCAGGAATATGGACTTTAGTAAAGAGGGACTCTACGTCGAAACTAACCAGAACATCTTGTGTATCTAATGTAATGGTTTTTAATTGTTCAATGAAGTGAAAGGAATTAAGCACAAAATTATCAATTTTATCTGTAAAGGGTTTTATACAGAAGCTAAATGTTTTGGTGACAATATTTTGAAGGGGCAATCCTGAGAGTTACATGAGATACATGAAACGCAAATTTTTGACACCTTGATAATTAGCACGGCATTTTTATGTCGAAGCAGTTTAGTTAAATAAAGAAACATCTTCTTTTCTCTGTTCCTGTAGCCCTGTCTTCTTTCTTTTCTTTTTCTGTATATCCTGTCGTTCTTCTATACTATTCTCTACATAAGGTAAACTTCAATTATAGTACTTAAGATGAATTTAAAATTTTGTAATATGTATTATTTCATTGTTATAAGTTAGTTTAGTTCGTGTTAACGCCCGTTATTCCTTCGTATAGCTTTATATAATTTGGCATGTACATACTATAATTTGGAATAATATATATTATTATTATTATTAAAACTTATTATTTGTGTTTTCTTTATTTATTTCCTCTTTCTCTCTCTCTCTCTCTCTCTCTCTCTCTCTCTCTCTCTCTCTCTCTCTCTCTCTCTCTCTCTCTATTCTCTAGACCATGTTATTAGCATGATAGTGGCACTACTAACTCAAATTTCTTCTAGGGGTGGGCATTACAAAATGGATCCTTCGCGGGAGTTTTCACCAGGGCAGTTTCAGGTTTTCGTCGCATTCTAGGAACACCCAAGGCACCGCCAACGCCCTGATAGGTTTAGCGATGCAAAAGATGGTCGGCTTCGAAATGTGGACTTCTGCAGTAATCGACGAAGTACTACCCACTACTGACGTTACGCACATTGGGACTCAATTGGGTTGCGATTTTCTTAAAGGTGCTAATCGTCGGAGACGAATACTACAAAGCTTCAGTCGAAACCCTACAAGCCGGTGGCGTGTTCAGACTACCGATGCTCATGCTGTCTGAGTTAAACAGAAGCTACAAGGTTAGAGAAAAAGAAGTCTATTTCGAAGTGGAGGACTGCGTTGTAAACGGTTTGGTCTATGCCGATGAGTCCGACGACCTGTTAAACCTCCGAAAGGGGTTGGAGTATTATTTTCGGGATTTCGATTGCGGCGTTCTCACAGCCAGATCGGTTTCCTTGGCGATATGGAAGTACGACAACGCGTACTTTTATTTAGATCCGTACAGCAGAGATCACGAAGGAATAGCCGCTGGTAGGAGTTCGTTTTTGATATCAAATAATAATTGAAGAGTACAGGTGATGGGATGATGACGGGGAGGGGGTAATTTTTATTTGGGAAGACTACTCTAGAACATGGTAAACAAAAACAGGATTTTGGAATATAATTATTGCTAACTTGAACTAAAATACTTTTTGACAGAACATACAAAACATATATAAATACAAAATTCCAAAAAAAAGTGACAATAATGGTGAAGGTCCATAATCTATTATTGTAATCTTATCAATGTGGCATTGCTGTAAAAAAAATCCTGTGCTTTTGAAAACAGAATCTTTTTAGATGCTGTAGATCTTGAAATTTAGCTTTAGATACAGCTATTGGCCCATCATAAGCTAAAGTTGGAAGTAAAAAACACTTTTTGTTTTATGACATTTTCATAACTTCCCCTATGTATCCTCATACGAGGGTGATTTTGGGTTGCAGTTAATTCGTTGACCGGTTTTGAAGGGGAATGACACTTGGGCATATAGATATCCGCTAGAAATTTGGTCCAACCCTTAGAAATGGACTGATCTTCACAAGAAATAACTTTAAAAGGGCTTGGTTTTGTTCGCGAATCCCTTAAGACTGCATTCCATTCTGCAAGCAGTTCAACGTAGGTCTTCTGTTTCATTAAAACCCTATTTCTATCGCATTCTAGATATGAATGTCTACGAAGAGTAAAGAGTAATACGTGTCATTATTTGTAATATTCGGCAGATGAAGATTTTTTTGAAACTCAATTACAATAGCGTCCTTGCTTTTGTCTTTTTGAGCCTCAAGCCTAGCAGCTTTTTTAGTTTATAAAAGGTGTCTGCTCTTTTTAAATGTACTTCTTTTTCAACTTGCAAGCTTTGCAGTTCTCTGTGTAACTGCAGTGCATTGTGATCATCTGCACTTTGATTAATTTTTCAATGTCGTCAATTTTTGTTTGAACTTATCGCATGTACTACAGGTATCCCGTTGTGGGTACCCAAAATGAATAGTATACTGGGTTTTGAATATTTCTCTATATTTTTCATAAGAAACTGTTTAGTTTTATTTAGGCAAAAAATGGACCCTCATCTTTTTTCCCCTGTACTCTTCAATTAATAATAACGTGTTTAGGATATGGTACGTCTTGCGTTATAAGGTCTACCGATTTGGAGGATTTCACACACTTCGTGGAGCACAATTTAGAACCTGGAACGGAGGACTTGTACAACATAAGTTGCGTTAGATTGATGTTCGACGCAGGGGGCGCCACCAGCCTCGCGAAGCAGACGCTAAATAACTACACTCGATTGAAAGATAATGTGGCCATACTTCAATCGTGGACCAGTGAAAACGCCGACAAATACGGAGCGAGGATAGGGAAGCAGTCGGTTCCTATGTGTCTGGTTGCCATCGGCTTCAACAGACTCAAACCGTCGAAACAGTGGACCAAATACGATTTGGACTTGATATTGGACAGGGGCGACGCCTTGTATATCGAGACGATGGAGAAGATACAATATAACGAAGTAGAAGATCTGGAAGCCGGCGGCGATGCCAGCCAATCGGAAGCTGCTATGCGACTAACCAACGAAACCTTAGAAATCGAGATTTTTTCCGATAACGTCCACAAAGAATTCGATATCGGACCCAACCGTTTTACGGTTACGCTAGAGGATGCCGCTGAAGGTAAAAAGAATAGTGCCTTGTTATTTATTTCTTTAACGCATTTTCATCAGGCAACATCAGAAAGGAACTAAAAACGGCACTAAAGGCTTTCTTTAGCGGCAACGGCCGGGATGCTTTGTTAGAGGCGAATGGTTACGCTGTCGCTCTTTGGAGAGATGCAGGGATTTATTACGTGTTCGATCCCAAACCTAGAAACAAAAATGGACAAGCCATAGGTATGCATAAATCGGTATGAAAACGGTTGAGTATTTAATAACGCTGAATTCAGGGAAAGAGGACTGGGATGATGAACCTGAAGAGCTCGACAAAGATACCGTTCAAGAAACAGAAGAAGAATTAGAATTAGATCCCGCAGAAACAGATATCGAAAACACCGAGGAAACAACGTACGAGGCAGCGGAAGAAGAGGAAGAAACTGTACTAGAGCGCGACTCGCCCGAAGAGCAAGAAGATGCAGACGAAGCAATGGAAGTAATAGAAGAAGAAAAACTAGACGAAGAACCACCAAAACAACCACGAAAAATTAAAAAGGGACAATCTTTTTGGTCGGAACAAGAGAAACTTGGTAGGGCTTGTACTCTGTGGTTCGCCGACCTGGACGATTTCGTAGACCACGTGTACGAGAATATACCGACCAATGACAGAACGACCAAAAATTTCCGACTCAAGTCTATAAACGCCCAAAATAACTTACAATTGAGGAGCAAGCGCGACCCGGAGGATGAAAGGAACGACCTGTACAGCGGAGACTGGTACGATTTTAGGGAGATCGAACATGGCAGGTGGATTTTAAGAGGTACCCTCGATCTGACCCACGAGGTGTTTCCGGGGGCTAACAGAGGAAAGCAGACTTTGACGACAAGCCTTGTGGCATTGGCGATGGCTCATATCTACGAGATGACGTGCTTCGTAGCACCCACACCGGATACCATATTGGCTTACGGCGACAAACTGTATACCTATATGAAAAGGGCCAGAAAGAAACAGTTGCTCGAAGATGGCGGAAATAGACTCAGCGAAGACGAGGTAAAATTCATAATTCAAATTAGTTGTTTAGATAACGACTTGGACCTGTAGGTGGATTGGTTGCTGCAGCATGAGGAATTTAGCATAAGCGACATACCAAATAAGATTTGTATCTCCAAATTTATGGTCCATGTGGAAATCGAACCTGCGGTAGTAAGCGGCGACGTCAAAGCTCAGGACTTTGAAGAAGTGTACGACGTTAAAAGAGGCCTTCAGAAATTTTTTGAGCGCAATCGTTACGGCATTCTTACTTCCAAGGGTAAGAGAAAAGAAAACTATAGCACTCTAACCAATGAACCGTCGAATTAAAGATCTAAACGTCGCTGTTTGGCGGGGCGAGGAGATGTACTATATGTTCGATGGTCTAAAACGAGGTCCAAGCGGGTTGGAATCAGCGATGGGCACAGCTTGTATTACTAGATACCTCTCGTTGGAGAAACTAGCCTCGGTATTCCTCAACAATCTTCCGCGTTTCGGCAAAAACCAATTCTTTCTCCACAAGGTGAGGAGGCGCTTTGGTGAAAACATTTTTCCTAACCAACAGCTGTGTAGCTTAAACTTAGCAGGGATTTATGCCCAAGAAATAGGGAACCCAAAAACGCGAGTCCGACATTAAAGATCGTGCCCAAATTAGCCACGCTGAAGATGGTGGGACACGGGAAATCCATAGTCCGAGGAAGCATAAGCCAAGAGGACCCTAAGTTCGGTAAAGGACCGAACGTAATGAGCGCCTCTGTCGCTGTGGCGGCCCTTACCACGGCGATGATTCACAAGGCTGACACGTGGTCCAGACCTATCATTGACGACATCATCGTACTAGGTGAGTGTGGTGGAAGGTCTGAAAAACGTCAGCGTCGCTCATGTGGTTTATAGGTGCCGAACTTCACGACGACAGCGTCGAAAGACTGGGATACGACTTTAATCCTTGGGAAGACCACTTGGAGGTTTCCAAAATAAATCCCGACTACAAGTTGGGAGTACTGACGGCGAGCTTCGAAATCAGAGACACCGTCCAACGTGGTGTCCTCCAGACCAAGGGTCGAACGAAGAAAAATCTTCGTCGAGGTGGGTGCTTCGTGGCGTTGGATTTCTTTGTACCATGTTCTTGCAGGTATCGAAGATTTCTTTGAGGAGAACGCGTACGGTATTTTGATCACTAAGAGTTTAACCCTGGCATTGTGGGAAGAAAGTGGAGATGACGGCTCTCGGTTAATCTACATGTTCGACCCGAATCCTCGCAGTGCTACCGGAATGCCGGTATTTAATGGAACGGCGTGCCTTCTGATTTTCGTTAATGCAAATATCGCGGCAGATCATATCATCGGTAAGAGATAGAATAGTAGTGAGAGATGAGAACAAGGGGTGGGATTTCAGGGTGTATTCTGGATCCGAACGAGAGGAGCGGCGAATACGAGATCCTACCAGTGGAAATAGTGGTTGAAAATATTAAATCCTTCCCAAAAGGTGAAAAACCTATTACCAAAAGTGGGCCGAACGCTCTCCCCAGATGTTCCAAGGCGGTAGTTTCAGAACAGAAGAAATTGTTGCGAAAATTGGTAAGATATTGAGGCGAGTTTATTGTTTAACGGCAATTTGAGGGACTAGGCGGAAGAGGAGAGGAAGAGGAGAGAAGCGAAAAGGATACACCAGATCGGCAGAACCGGATATTATCCCACGCGAGGCGGCGAGGCCATTTTGAGGGGCTATCTGAGCCAGAACCATGAAAAATACGCTAAGGAATCGAGAAATAATCAGGATATACCAAACTGTATAGTGTCAGGTAAGTTTTTATCGCAGACCTCTTATCTTTTAGGGGTCTGTGGTTTTTAAATATCAAAAGGCAAGAGGTAAGGTAGCCTCCTCCATTTTACAAAAATCATTTTACTTTCTAACGTGGGTAATATATTTCAGTGGTGATGAATTCCCTCATACCAGTCAATGAATGGACCTCCAAGCATATCGATCTAATCTTGGACACAGGGGAGCAGCTTTACATTGACTCTTACATCGCCTACGGTCCGAGAGACAAGAAGCTCGGAATGGAGAACGTGCTTAGGAAGTTCTACATGGGAAACCTTGAGGTATTCTGCTATCTGCTAATTACAATGTATTCATTAATGAACGCGTATAGTTTGGTAATTGCTAAATACATAACCAATAGCTGCCTTTTCAAAAATTCCACCGCATCTACATACTGGGTTTTCCAGGGTGACCGTGAATTAGAAGTTTTATATGAATCAAAATAGATATTATTGTAAAATTTGGTATATGCCGACAATTGACCCTGCCGTGCAGAGTATTCCATTAAAATTACTAAATGGATAACAAAAATTTGAAATAAAAATTTTGTCATGTTCTGGCAGTTCGACATTTTTTTCTAATTGAATACCCTGCATTTAAATGCATTTTTTCTACTGATTTCAAATATATATGAGTTGTTATGGTTATTTTTGGCAGATTTTGAAATATCGAGCATTTTATCTAATATCGGATGTAGGGAAGTCTACATACATTCGGTATGATGCCAATGTTCCTAAGATGCTTTCTTGCTGACTAGTGTCCGGTTATCAGCCTAATAGTCAGCCTCAGCTGATTCCTGTTGAGCCCGATAACGCTGGAGTCCTTGACGGTTTTAGTGTATCTCATACCTTCAGCTTCAAGCCACATATCGAGAAATCTATTGCTAGATCTCTGGTCAAATAGACTTTTAATGAAGCTGTCAGGTATTGGGTAGGGCAGATAGGTAGTGTACTTGTATCCTCCACCTCCACTTTTTGCTAGCCTATCTGTCCTCTCGTTCTCTGGGATTCCACAGTGGCCTGGGACCCAGACGACTGTGACGAGATTTGTCTTAGCAAGTCTGTCAAGCATCTCAATGCAATGTCGAATCATCCTTGAGAGCATTTCGACTGACCTGAGGGACCTGAGGGCTGTACATGTACAATATGTCCGGCACAGGCCCAAATTTTTGCTTGGAAAATGGTGGTCATGTGTCCCAGTTTTAGAGTTTTCTCTGTTCTTGGTCCATGGTACCAGTATGCTGCTCCTGCTCCTTTGTGTCTTGGACCGATCTGTGTACCGGATGAGCACCTTCGCTTTCAGGAAGTTGGTTTGGAAGTGGTAGCTCTTGGAGCTGCGATCACCACCCCCCCCCCCCTGTTATACCCAGCATCACAAGTCTATAAACTGTTTAATGCTTTGATGTTGGTTTGCCTGTTCAGGGCTATGCACCAAACAATCGAAGCATAAGTGGTTTATGGGACCAGAATGGCAGTATATATCCATCTGATATATAATATATAATATAAAAATATTGGTAATTATTATGACATTTTCAGTTAAATATTATATTACTTACCTACTACTAACATAAAAGGTAACATACTAGGTAATATAAAAAAACATCCTATTAAAACATAGTCTTTAGTATTCTAAATTTTCTTCAAAAAAGATGTACTAACTGACCATGATTTATCTGCACGTATACACCTGTATGTGTATGTTTTCGATACACCTTCTAAGAATTTCTGGTTGCCCATATAGAGCTTCAACTTCTTCTCCTATTCTGTTTTGTATTTCCAGAATTGTTGCCGATCATCTTCCCGTATACTTTCGATTTTAAGAATCCCCATATAAAGATCTCAATAGTAACATCTGGGCTGTTAGGAGGGCAGAGTATTACCACACCCAGGAAATTTATTTATTTTGTAAATCGAAATATCATCAGCCTGTCATACTTGAAAAAAAAAACAGATTCCCAGAAATCTCGCACCAAACTCCTACAGATTAGCGGCCTGATTTTTTGAATGAAAAAATTTTGTGGGAATTTTCGCTTGATAAGAAATGTGTTTTTTAATTAGGCGGCGAAGCCGTATTAAATGAGGATTCATCTGTAAACAGTATGTTGTGAATAAAATTAATTGATTCTTGGATTCGTCCTAACATAATGCGGTAAAAACGCGCGTTTTATGAGCCTTTAACATCATTGGAACTTACTTCTACTTAAATCCATATGAAAAGAAATATTTTGCAACTTAGTTTTTGCAATTTCTGATTTTCTGATCATAAAAATGACCAACTATGAATACCATTTTAATATATCATGACAGTCACTCTATGCCAGTTTCCATGACAACAGCTATCATGAAGCACTAGTTATTGACTTTTTTACATCCAATATTAGATAAAATGCGCGACATTTAAAAATATGTCAAAAATAATAATACAGGGTATTCCATTAAACAAAAACGTCAACCTGTCAAAATTTGACAGATAAAATGTTTATTTAAATTTTTTATTCCAGAATCGGAAGGTCTACGAAAAATTCCCCAACTTTGGTAATTTAGTAATTTATAATGGGACACCTTGTACAATTTAAAAATATTAGCGCTTTTGCAATGTTGCCGGTTCGACATGAAATCAGTGAAATTTCAACAACTTCCACTAATTGTTCGCACACGCATCCGCCACCTTGATCGCAAAAAAAGAAAAACAAAAATATTATCACAGGTGATAGCTAGTGAATATACTTCAAAACTGTGCATGTAATATCGATAATATTTTATACAGGGGTCGCTGAAAAAGAAAAATAATAAAAAATCATGTTTTTCAATTCCTTTGACTAGGCTAACAAATTATCAACAAAATGATTATACGTGTTCCTATACATATTTCTTATAGCTTTTTAAGAAACGAAAGATATTCTCTGCTATCAAACGGCACCTATAATGGGTTAGACGCTTATAAAGAATACACGAGGTTCATAATGGCTGGCTTTATTCTAACTCGGCATGTAGAAACGTATTGTCAGATATCAGTTAAATGCATTTCCTTAATGAAAAATTGCAAAAAAAATTGTCTGGAGTTTGAACGACGTTAAGTGAAATTATGCAAAATAATCCTATGCGCAATACACAGCAGAGTTATTAGTTGAACTTTCACTTCACTAAATTCACAAGGTTCAATAATGTTTTTTTGGAAAATGGAAGAAATAAAGCTGCGAGAGTTTTGCCGTTCATGCGTATCCTGAAGCCTCCACGTACGCAATGGAAAAAGGAAGGGGAGCCAGCTTTCTTGAGTAAAATAATTTTGACTGATGAGTACAAAATTACAATAGTTACAAAGTTATAAACTTAATAGACACAGTCGACATCTTTGGGCAACAGAAAATCACCTTCCATAAATAATGTTGACAAATGAATTTAAATAAGTAGACTCATTAAATCCAGCTGCAGAGAGTATGACTACAAAATCCGTCATGACCCGTATTTAGGAATGGCTAGTTCAAAATGGGAAACATAATAAACATTTATATTAATACAATACAAACTTCTCACCTCACAGTATGTTTCTGCATGGAGGGTTACAAGAAGTCAGCCATGGCCAATCTCGTAGAAACTTCATAAATACGTAAATTGTTATGACAATAGAGAATATCTGCCAAGTGTGAAAGTATTAAAAAATATGTTTTTTTCTACTCCCGTCTGTAAAATACCTAATTTCTCACCGATCTAGAGTGCGGGAAGCGTCACTTTACCACGTCAATTTCGTTTCCCATGAATTCGGACATTTCCGGAATTTTACCGCATGGATTTAGAAACAATCGGATGATTGCGGAGAAATTTCCCGCGCTTTGAATTTTGACGTTTATCAATTCCGACGGTCATGCCAGTGAATGCATTCGTGTTGTTTTCCGAAAATGTACCCAAAAACTAACGGTCGTAGAAAAAGTATAGTATGCAACACGTTCGGTAAACTTTTTAACTCACCATTTTATTAAAAACTCGCTCCGCTCGTGTCAAATAAACTCGTGAGTCAAATGCCGATTACCGCACTTGTGTAGGAACCATTATTAGAAGTTGTTTAAATTTTTGTATTTCAATATTAAAAATCGGCAACATTGCAAAAGCTTCACCTCAATTTGTACTTTGTTGTTCCATATTAAAAATATTTCCTGGTGTCCATCTGTCAATTTAACAGGTCCACGTAACCATTTACAAACCAGTAATAACGGAAGTGATGACAGCCAGCAAGCTGTTAAGCATCTTGGAGGGATATTTCCAGCAAGAGTCGTTTTGCATTTTGAGTTATCGCGACCAGTATGTCAGCTTGTTCTCCAAAAGCGGGTACTTTTATCTCTTCGACCCTCACGAAAGGAACATTCAAGGTTGGCATATAACCGCAGCGTATTAGGTTGGGTTCGTTGGTGGTCGAAATTAAAATCAGCATTATAGGATGATTCGCAAACCCCAAGCCTCTAGTTTTGCTCCATGACTAATTTTGTTTATGTTTTGAGGTTATAAATCTCATATGATAATAAACAAATACAGTGGCGTTAAAAAAAAATCTCATTGTAATGTGGAAACTCTTATTGAATCACCCGTTAGAATTTATAATTTGAAACTATAGTGGTAGTTTTAAACATCTGGCGAACGGATCAAAATATTCATTTATTTATTTAAATAAAAATAATAACCTTTTCCCTTTAATACCTTTAGTACCTTTCCATAGTTTTTATAATAAATCGTATTTATTTGTGGAAGAATTCCGTAGGGTGGGCTTTAGAGACTTAAAGTATACATAGAAAATCTCATATAAATTTTAAGTTGCCATATATTGGCTCCCCTGTACCGTGCGTTCAGTTTATCTTGATAATAATGGGCTCTAACTTTTTTGTTTTTTGAGATATCAACGTAAAAAAAAAACAAAATGTAGGGTTAGTAGCAAGTTTTTTTCCAAGTGACGTATAAAACAAAATAATATCAATTTTCTGACATATAAGCCTACATAATTTTTTTTATGGACCACTTGTGTTTAATAAATATCTTATTCCGATTGCAATGATGTAACACACTTTATAGGAAATTTTTATATAATTTCAAAGAGTGCAACAACAATAATCATTTACAAATAAACAAACAAAAACACTAAACATGAAAAAACACACTAAGTAAAAAATTCTTTAACTATTCTACCGCTGTACCTAACCACCATTTTCCTGAACACATTTCTCATACACTCTAATTGTATGCATTTAGTAACGTTTCCGGATTGTCCCTGAAATCCTTTGCTGAAGTTCCATGACAAGAAAAAAATCCATTAAAGTTAAGTCGGGGCTGTTGGCCGGTCAATCCGCCGTTCAATATCCAACCACTGGATATTCCATGTTAATAAAATTTTTAACATGCTGCCATTTAATCAGCGGTAATATACTTAGGAATAAATGTTCTATATATTGTTCTACTTGGCGCTCTAAGAGTTGCAAATAATGATCTCCAGTTAACTGTTGATCTATAAATATCGGACCCCAAATAAGACACCACACCATACATTAATTGACTGGTACCCCTAGGTATTTTTCATGTATTTGTCTAGGATTATTTAAAGACCAATAGCACGTATTTTGTCTATTACAACCCTTTCTTATAGTGAACGAACTTTCATCAGTCTATAAAATGTTTTTCAAAAAATTACTGTTCTCATTATGTCTATTTAAAAAATCCAAACAAAATTAAATCCTCCTTTGGCATTGTTCTGCACTTAGTTCTTGAGTTTTACGAAACTTAAATGCATTATATTTATATCCTTTCAAAACTGAGTGGATTGATCCCCTCCTCACATACTCAGTTACAAAGGAAACTGGATGTGCTTCGTAGAATTCTAATATGTTTGCCTTATTTTCTTCATTTAAAATATTATGACTCCGGCATACCTTTTTAGCATTTAATACGTTACCGTTTTTTGCAATTTTTTTTGCCAGCTTGGGAAATGTTTGTTTTGAAGGAGCTCTGGATAAAGGCTAATATAATAATGACAAGCTGTGGTTGCACTTTTATTATCCAGAAAGTATACTTGAAGCCTATCACTCCTTTCACGGATGCTATATTCGCGAAAAACAGTTTTAACAATAATGACCTGGACAACAATTCAATCATCAACGTTTTTTTTTCTACTTCCGTCTGTAAAATACGTCATTTCTGACGGTGATGTCAGTGAATGTATTCGTGTTGTTTTACGAAAATGTACCCAAAAACTAACGGTCGTAGAAAAAGTATAGTATGCAACACGTTCGGTAAACTTTTTAACTCACTCGTTTATTAAAAACTCGCTCCGCTCGTGTCAAATAAACTCGTGAGTTAAATGCCGTTTACCGCACTTGTTGCATGATATCAGTCAGAGCACTCTTTGAAATTATACCTAAATTTATTGTTTTTGCCGATTTGTCAAAAATATAAAGTGTGTTACATCATTGTAATCGGAATAAAATATTCTATTAAACACGTGTTCCATAAAAAATATGATGAAGACTTATATATTAGAAAATTGATAGTGCTTGGTTTTGTACGTCATTTGGAATAACTTGGCTACTAACCCTACATTTTGTTTCTTTGTTTACCTTGATATCTCTAAAAACAAAAAAAAAATATGACAGACTTTTCACCTAAGAACACTAAAATCCAAAATTACAAAAAATATATATTTCAAGAATATAAAACACATTACAATTCTCCGTCTCCTTTTGGTCTGTTCATTTTTGTTCTCTAGTAGTTCTCTGAATAATAATAATATTTCCAAGATGGCATGACTACAATAATTGTTTTGACGTTTTGACCGCAAACGGACCCGATCCGCCCGCCCCCTAGCGCTTAGCGGCCAAACAATTCGTGATGCGTGTTACAGGTAACCTCGTCGTAGGTGGCGACACTGGTACGGCGGTAGTTGTACGATTCGACTGCGTAGATTCGACAGCGTCGAAAGTGATTCGCAACTTGAGTAGTGCGAACGAAGAATACGCCGATTTTTCCCTCTGGTTGACGTCGGTCAAGATAAAAACCCGTTAATAAAATCCAATTCGACTATAAATCACGTTTCTCTACGCATGACCCCGGCGTGTTTACTTCGCAAATTCGAAACCGAACGTGTCAATCTTCAGCTATCGGTGTTTGTTTAAACGATTTATCGTCGCGCTTATTTATGTGGGACACGGAGGATACAAACTAGAGTCCCGATCAAAATATCACAAAAAAAAATGGTGTTAGTTGATTTTTCGCTTATACTAATTTAATATAACGACTCCATAGGTCAATCGCAGCGTTTTAACTAAATTCTCTCACCCAAGAAGAGAATGCATATACAGTACGTAGTAAAAAACCTCCTAACAATTTACAGTTTTTGGTAAACACCGCTGTTGTAGTTATGTATGATCATTCATCTAAATACGACGTCGAGCCTGGAGTGCCCCAAGGAAGTACTCTGGGTCCACTCTTATTCCTCCTGTTAATAAACGATTTGCCGTTACATTGACTAATAGAGTCTAAGACGGTCGAAGAATTATACCAAACGGCTAGGCACGGTGGCTCAAGAATTTAAACATTACCTAGTTTCATAAAAAACTGATACGGCTTGAATATTCAACTTTATATTGTGGGAAGTGTACCCACAATATAAAAAATCAAAAAAATTATAGGTAAATCGGCCAAGAGAAAAGCTGGAAATTAATTTCAGGTTCATAAATTGGTCGCTACGTGGCGTAATCCTTAAAGGCATCAATTTATTGAGGTATTTTCTGAATAATTCTTAGTAACCTAATTTTCTCTCAATTATGTTTTGTATATAAAATAAAATAAAAGTAGTATTGAACCTTTGCCGTAAATTATCATCCCGTCATTCATGATCGCTAATACTGGTTCTATTACACCTACGTAAAAAAGTATTTTTAAATTAATTTTGATTTATACCGCAGAGGAGAAAAATTATATTGCCATGCCGTTTTCACCACTTTCTGCACTTTTTACGCTCTTTCATTTTAGCTAAAAATATTTAGATCATTATATTTGAAATTTTTAACATAAAGCGCCTCCTAGCGACTCGTAAAAGAATTAATATCGTGATATTGACATGCCAGTCGAAGCTCCTATAAATACTCTTCAAAACTAAACTAAGTGCGTCGAAATCGGAATAGCCAAAAAAAAGTTATTCCATTTTTTTGTAAATCAATATTTGACCCTTCCCCCACCCTTACTTTGACGAGATTTCAATCCAAACAGTTTCCTTATAGGTTAGATTACGTTAAAACTAATTTTGATATAGGTTCATTTGGAACATTATTGTGAAAACCCGTTTTTTCTATTTTACAGTAGAGAAAATAATTTCCAGCTTTTTCGCTAGGACGACATATTTTTTTTTAAGTTGTAGGACTAACGGTTCCTGGGATATGGCCGGCGAATTTTATTAATAGGCCATCTGGAACACATCATCACATTTTGACAAAACAAGGTTTGTTTTGACGTCCAGTATGGGATCTAAAGGCGGGTTTATGCACATATTTGTAAGAGTTTTTTGTTTAATAATCCTTTATTCATTCAGATACTACATATACACATTACAGTTATATTGTAATACCCTATTATACTAGCCATGAATTAATGTAACTTTCTAAACAATGCATTAAGCATTGTTATCGAATGCATTTTAACTACATATTTCATTGCATAAATATCTTTTTCCTTTTTAAAAAATTATCTCTCTCTCTTTTTTCAGTGTGATTTCTTAAGTTGTGTGAGAGTATTTTATTGATATGGGTCATTTTGTGTTGCTTTTAGTTTTGTTCTCTATTATTTTAAAGAGAAGTGCATATGACTAATGTGACCATTCCGAATTCATTATCTCTTCTCAAAGTAAAATCATTTATCTAAATGTTAAAGTCATTTTTTTTGTTAAAATAAAATGTATTTTTCTACTCCCGTCTGTGAAATACGTAATTACACACCGATCTAGCGTGCGGCAAACGTCCTTTTACCACGTCAGTTTCGTTTCCCACGGATCCGAGCCACGTCGGACATTTACGGGATTTTACCGCACGCGTTTGGGAGCAATCGAATGTTTTCGGAGATATTTCTCACGCTTTGAATTTTGACGTTTGTCAATTCTGACGGTCCTGTCAGTGAATGTATTTGTGTTTTTTTGGGAGAATGTACCCAAAAACTCCTCCGCTGCGCTCCGCTCATGTCAAATAAACTCGTGAGTCAAATGCTGTTTATCGCACTTGTTGCATAATATACTCTTTTCAATGCTTATTTTTAATTTGTTATTTAACAGAATAGAATCCTTTTATTTCATATTATTGTCTCGAAGAGAAATATACAATTCATTAAGCTACCTGAACTATTTCTACTTCATCAATTGTATTTCTGAGGCTTTATATATTGAATATTCATCGAGTTATTATTTATTTCATTAATCTCTTTAAATCATATTCAGTATCAATTCGGTGTATTTTGCTAGAATCCTTTTTATGTAATAAAAACTTCTTCCACTATTTACCCATAGATTCTTAAAGCCATTTGTCATGGTATGTATGTATATGGGTTCCAGAGGGCTATTATTTGTGACCCTAATCTGGTTTCTGTTTGAATGCTCTTTGGGACATTTCGACCATTTTTCCTGAATTTTTTTTTTTTTGAACATTTTCTTTCTCCTTAAAGGCACATCTCGTATAATTATATCATTGTTTAAAGACTATTGTTCATTATTATTTAATTAATTAACGATTTGTTTCGACATATTTTTTATTGTGAAGTCATCCGTTTGACAAAATATATCCCGTTAATATACAGATGACCGTATATTTTCTCATATATTTTGAACCATCCTGTATAAATTCTGATATATAATTTGGAACCTCGAACTACTCACATTAATTTAAATAATCGCCGGAGATACAAACGTACTATTATCAGAGCAATAAAATTAAGAAAAAATCTAATTGGTCAATTAATTACCAGTTTAATATTAACAGTACAAAAAAAAAACAGTGAATTTATTAATTGCCAATAAATATCTGGGAAATTCCGTTCTAAAAAAAAGACGAAAAAAAATGACATGACATGACACACACGAAACCCCTTTAACCGCGAGTAAGCATACGGCTCTGATAAGTTTTAAATTTTATATGATATTTTACATGTTGTAGAGAGGGTTGCAAAAGTTAATATACAAAAAGTCTTAAATAGCAGATGTATTAAAAATTTAATAAAACAAAGGGATTGATAATGGAATGAAACAAACAATAACATATTTTTTTAATAATGGCAATAAGACTAACAATTGAAAAAAAAAATAAATTTGATATACAACGTATCTTACAGAGCAAATTCACTGCAAAAAACCTATAAAAGTTAATAAAACAAATGGATTGATAATGGAATGAAATAAACAACAAGAACATATTTTTTTAACACCTTTTTTTCGGTTTTTGCGGGTAGAAGAGCAGAAATATGTCAATCCAGACTTATAAAATTAAATAAATTGCACAATCCCTCTTATTTCTTTAATATCTTTAATGAAAATAAAAATAATAACAAAGAAATTTAAATATTAAATGAAATAAAAGAAAACAAAGAATTAATTCAACATTATTGTAAATATTCTAATTCCGAATGTAAGCAGGCAGCTGTTTTTCCCTTTCGCAATAAATTTTGCAAAATAAAGCTCATTAACACACGTCGTCTTTTCAGATAATCCATGAAACGCTCAAGTAAGGACAAATAATACTTTATAAATAAGGCGAACAAGGCTCTGACACTGCTTGTCATTTGTCTTTGCATGTCGCTTACTCTCGGAACATATTTATCTCAATCCCAGATATTATTGAATTTCGTTAAATTTACGACCGACGTTTGCCCAACGGCTTGGGCCAAGGACCCTGGCTTCTACGGGTAGTTCGCTGAATAACGTTTGTTTTGTATCAATGCGGACGTAAAATCGATATAGGAAACAAATAAAATTTCAAAACGAAAAATTCTAAACAAATTTATCATTGAATTGGCCGTTTCTGGAAAGTAAAAATAGAAATTGGGCTCGAGGTAGACATTTCAGCTTGGTACATTAATAATAATTCTAATCTAGATTGACACGAGAAATGGATTTTTTTCTCATATCGGCAAAATATTTTTTTTTTCAATGGAACAAAAATATTATTCACATTTTAAGCTCAAGCAGAGCGACTGTTTGGATAAGCTAGTGACTAAAGAAGTTTGTTACTATAACTTTTCCAGTTTTTATGGTTGTATGACATGGGAAAATAAGGTGGTAAGTTTATTTTTTGCTTCTAATCGATATTTTATGCAGATGATGTTGCAGATACTTTGTGGTAATGCTATAAAAGTTATAGTACCGTTGGGCCTCTTATTACTTTCGAAAATCAATGAAATCGAATTTTTCGAAAGTATCTACGCTCGTATAAAAATTTTATATCTCGGTAACGGTAGGTCCTATGGGATCGCTATTGATACAGAAATCGAAAAAAAAAAATTGTCTGTTTGTCCGTTCTCCGTTTTCAGTTCTCCGCCCTCCGTTCTCGTCTTTTGGTTTTTCCTGAATAACTTTCGAATTTGCCTCCTTTTTAACCCTCCACGAGGCAGATAAGCTTGTAAGAAGTGGCCCTGATCCGACGCCGGTATCCATCTTTTTTTCGCGATTTTCGACTGTTTTTTGGACCTCGCTATGAAACACGATAAGTGTCCGAAATTTGAAGCAATCGACTTCATATTTGCCACATATATGCAGCTTTGAGCCGTGACGGAAGCTATTGAAAAAGGGGGGGCTGGGGGGTCGGGAAGTATTCTGAAAAAATAAAAAATTGCGTGTGCAAGGGTCTACAAAAACTCTATAAATTTTCATTCTTGACAATTTTTCAAAAATATACAGGGTGCGCTGCAAATTCAAAAAAACTGAAAAATGGGTCCCCCTATTATTGAAAATTGGTTATAACTGAAAGATGATTCAGATCTCACTTTCTTTTATATTGTGATATAACCCGCATAGATGCAAAAACTTTTGTATTTAAAGTTTTCACCTATTGTACAGGGTGTTCCCGATGTTCCTTCCTAAA